AGGGCGGTGATCGTGGAACCAAAGAACCACTCCTCATTAACATGGTCATTGTCAAACTGGTTAAACGCAACCGTCGGAATTTCTTCGCCGCCTGGATAGACTATAGAAAGGCATTCGACTCGGTGCCCCATACATGGCTAAATACGGTCCACGAGCTAAACAAGCTTGACTGTACAGTTAGAGACTTCCTCTGGCAGTGTATGGGGCAGTGGAGGACAATCCTTTATCATCTAGGCGAGCAGATGACGGATGCGGAAAGCCACATAAGGATAAGAAGGGCAATTTTCCAGGGCGATTATTTAAGTCCAATCTGGTTTTACCTCTCCCTGAATCCTCTCAGTACCTTACTGGAGGACTCCGGGAGTTTCAGCAGGTCTCTGTTACTCTTGCTACCTGCGTGAAATAATTACGTACAATCGTGAGCTGCCCCAGGGGTAGATCGCAGTCGGTGCTGGCGCGCTCTATACGATTGAATGTTAAAGATTTTTTAACGCTGTTTACGTAAATAATTTTTTGTAAATACTTGTTTCCGTCGAAATAGTTTTTGTTTTGTGTTTAGTATATGTAATTGTAGGATAAAATAATTGAAAAAGTTGTAATGTAATTTAAGAATTATATATAATATGTATATTACCTATCTATTTGATAAAATATAATGGCAAAACGTCGTCCCTACTATAATTGTTGCGGGATGGATGCTTAATGAGCAATTAAAAAGATTCAGATATATCATGTTTTGAGTTACCGAAGGATAATGAAAGGTAAAATTATTTCATTTTTCGTTAGATAGGTACTTATAGCGAAAAAATAATGAAGTAATAATTTAACTACAGAAGTAATTCTTAAGTACATTATTACAAAACTTAGTTGAAATTTACTTCACTACCCAAGTACCTACTTACATACCTATACTCGCCTTTGTAATTAAAATATTTTAAGTCATAATAGCAAAAAATACTGAAATTAAAGCTTTAGTTTACAAGTACACATATCAACTACGTAGATTACAATTATATTTCTTTTGTAGCGCGCATATCTCCTCGATCTATTAATACACGGACTGGTAGGTCCATTCGTGTGCCGAGTCGATATATCGACAACGTCATATAAAATACGCTCTAGAGGGCGCTGTAGGTGGAGACAGCAATTCGCGGGTTGTTAACTCCCATAGACATATACTGGACTATGATTGAATATTCTGCGTAGTTGCTCACTTAACAATACACAAAATGTCTGAACTTGCAAGCAACCATCATTTTCTCATAATTACTTTAAGCCTAGATAGTTAAATATAATAGAACCTAGTTGTAACGTTTTTCTTTAACTGTGTCAATTTTGGACAATAAAACGTTTGTTCTATTCTTTTGTGGCGTTTGTGTTCTCTTTTTTAGATCTATCTTTCGGTCTATAGAACACCGCTACACTGTTAGGAATCGTATTACGGGTTTATTTGTTGTTTACGCTATCTACCTATACGAACCATGCATCGCAATTTCCGACGAATGGACTTGCAAGTTGCATGCGTTGGGCATCACAGAACTCACATAATTCATAATTCATTTATTGCATGTCACAAAGTATAAAGTTGTTACAATATATCTACAGAGCATGTGACAACCCTGTACGGGCGTAGCATATTAAGATGGATTTTAATTGTTAATTAATATGAAATCAAATTAAATTACAATTTTTATAGTACATAATCTATATATTATTATTAATTAATTTATTAAATATCAAACCAAATAATACACACATTTATTTAAAATTAAATGTCAATAAATATTTCATCTTAACTATTGGTCATTTTAATTCATATAAATAAGATTTAAAACTTTGATGAAAATATTAATAATGTCATTTAAGTAAATAGAAATAATAAATTTTGTCAAAATAATTTAAATTTATAATTTGTCATTAAAATATTCATTTAAGTTATAATAGCTTTTTACAATAAGCATTTTCTTAAGTACTATTTCAAATTTACGACACTGGAGGGCTTTTATTAAGTGGCGAAGCTTGCGAAGTCACTTATTGATTTCACGATGTCTGTCCGTCTGTCCGTCTGTCCCACGATTATCTCGAGAACGGTTTTGAATTTTCAAATTCTGTTTTCAGCAATCGATTACTGATCACCCAGGCATCTGAACATCCTATTTTGAAACTGATTGCTCAACGGCAACCGTTAGGAACCGCTACAAAGCTGATTGCTTCGCCACTTTGCTATGCTGTTAGCTTGCTAGGTTTATATTATTAGGTAAATGGTTGTAAACCCTTATAGCCATGTAGTAGGGACCATTTTTAAATATTGTTAGATGTGCAGTAGGAGTAACCAGGTTATAACCACGGTGACGTGCGCCATTTCGATTGGGTCTATCCCCAATTCATTGAATAACATACCTCCTTTCCGAAGCACAGAATAAATAAACCTAGCAAGCTAACAGCATAGCAAAGTGGCGAAGCAATCAGCTTTGTAGCGGTTTCTAACGGTTGCCGTTGAGCAATCAGTTTCAAAATAGGAGGTTCAGATGCCTGGGTGATCAGTAATCGATTGCTGAAAACAGAATTTGAACATTCAAAACCGTTCTCGAGATAATCGTGGGACAGACGGACAGACGGACAGACGGACAGACATCGTGAAATCAATAAACCTAGCAAGCTAACAGCATAGCAAAGTGGCGAAGCAATCAGCTTTGTAGCGGTTTATAATGGTTTCCGTTGAGCAATCAGTTTCAAAATAGGAGGTTCAGATGCCTGGGTGATCAGTAATCGATTGCTGAAAACAGAATTTGAAAATTCAAAACCGTTCTCGAGATAATCGTGGGACAAACGGACAGACGGTCAGACTGACAGACGGACAGACATCGTGAAATCAATAAACCTAGCAAGCTAACAGCATAGCAAAGTGGCGAAGTAATCAGCTTTGTAGCGGTTTATAACGGTTTCCGTTGAACAATCAGTTTCAAAATAGGAGGTTCAGATGCCTGGGTGATCAGTAATCGATTACTGAAAACAGAATTTGAAAATTCAAAACCGTTCTCGAGATAATCGTGGGACAGACGGACAGACGGTCAGACTGACAGACGGACAGACATCGTGAAATCAATAAGTGACTTCGCAAGCTTCGCCACTTAATAAGTGACTTCGCAAGCTTCGCCACTTAATAATTTCGAAAATTGGGGAAATATGTAAAAGGCTAAGCAAATAGTTCATCGTAAATCTTTATCAAGTATTTAAAAGAAAAAGCAAACACTTGAGTGAAAATCGTGTTTGCCTAGTTTTTTGAAATAATTTTTTACTTATAATTCTTGTCATACAAACAAAACCAATTAGACTTATACTGAAATTCATAATGGTTTATGGCTGTTAATGGGGTAATATAAGCAGCGTTGCCAACCGTAAGATTTAAATCGTATTCATACGATCTTTTTGGCCCTAGTACGATGTACGATCATGTATTCGAAACGAGTGACAAACGAGCACACAGTCCACCTGATGGTAAGTGGTTACTGTGACCCATAGACATCTACATCTATCCTCAATAAAGACTCAAGATGCAGATGCGTTGTCACCCGTGAGGACTAAGATGGAATGCCTCTTTGCCAGTAAAAAGGGTCTCCGGTTCTCTACACTCACCATACGAAACACAGCAGCGTTAAGCTGCTATTTTACGTTGGTATTCTGTGAGAGCGTGGTCCTTCCCCGGTCGAGCCGACCCATTCGTGCTACAACCATAATATAGCTGCAGCATGGCTCTACCACGTAGAAAACGTGTTGATTTATATGATTAATTGTTTAACTTTGTTAATTATTTTGTAATTTAAAATTATAGGACTTAATAGTGACAGATATAAGAATACTTTTCCATGTTGAGTGTGAGTTTATGTTTAATGTAATTGTAAAATTAATCCTATTTTTGTAATAGAGGGCAGAGTGGATACAGTCCGAGCTCCTTTTCATTAATAAAAAAACTAGTCGTCTTAAAGTTTAGTGTCAGATTCTTAAATGTTATACCCTAAATGTAAAATTTTTCTTTGACGTTATAATAATATCCACTGTTTTATTGAAATTTTAATGCGTACTATATTTTCTTTTGATTTCTTAGCAAAATAAGATTTTTTCCAGTTTGTTACGATCTCCTAAAAAATTAAGTTGGCAACCCTGAATCTTCACCATTCACGTTGGCTATTCTGTAGAGAAAACAGGGGTTACTTGCGGTCATTTGATTATTAAGCTGAGAACAAATTATCGGACGCGTCCGTCAGCCGCGGCTGATAGACGCGGCTTATTTGAATCTAGCCAGTACATTTAATACTACACTGTGCAAACTATCGGTCGTAAGACGCGGACGTGCCCTTGGGTCGTCCTTGAGCGTTCAGACGTCCGAACAGAATCTAGCCGGCTGGATATTTGTGCGTCCTCGGACGATGTGCACAGGCCACGGGACGCGTCCGCGGACGTTTCGAGCGTCACAAACGAATCGACCGCGCTCGCGACATGTCAGACGAAGAAAATTTAATTGAATGTGTTCGTGGCCACATAAATGCTAGTTTAAAACAGGAATTGTGGGAGCAAATTGCTGCTGAATTAAACATCATTTTCAGTCAGACTAAGCAGAAAATTAAATTGGTTTTCATTAATTCTTAAGTACATTTTGTAACGTTTATCATCTTTTTGTAAGTCTGGATACAATGTATGAAATTCACCATACTCGAGTCTTTTTACATTAATATCATGGACCCAAACACTCCTTTTCACTTTTTTTTTTGGAGGTCAACATAAAGCAGCTGCCGCTAACTCTATAAATTCGTCCTCGCTGTCGCTGCTTGTCATGTTTCTCGATTGAAACACCATTATAGAATGACTGAAGTGAGGCGTCCGAAGACGCCGTCTTAACTACCGTGCACACCGCTAAGCCGCGACTGTCAGCCGCGGCTGACGGACGCGTCCGATAATTTGTTCTCAGCTTTAATGTTGATAGTGTGGGTTACAGTTTGTCTATACTTCCGTGATCTATTGTAGTAAATTATGTTTGTCTATAGCTATACTTCCGTGTCTATATCTCTTTTGAACTTTGATCACTTTTGATCTTTTCATTTTGCATTTGATATAGATTTTACCCTGATCTCTTGGTAGAGAGTAATTGTGTTCTGTGGCCCTGAACGTATTGAAACCTTCGTAGCTTTTGTGTTTGTTTTTGTATTTAAGAAAAACAATGTCTGTTGCTGTTAAAGGTATGTAGTAACAATCTGTAATGAATGAGAATAAGTTTTCATAATAATAAAAACTTTCGGCTTTGATATTATCAGATAAAATAAAGGGGTCAAACTCCAAATAAATTATAAAATGCATAAACTGTTTTTAAAGTTTCTTTTAAAAACTACACGATTGCTTTACGATTTCTAAATGTTCAACTTTACAAAACTTTGAAACATATTGTTTTCTTTCAACCGTTTTTCACTCTGTGTGTTACAGTCCAATGTTTTTTATATAATGTATATATACTTTTTTTATTATATAGATTATGGGTAATAAAGCACACAGTCAACCTGATGGTAAATTAATGCTGAGGCTCATAGATATCGACTGATATCTATGCTGGAGTAGGAAAAAATGTAAATAGATGTTTTGACGACCATTGGGACTAAGATAGAATGTCTTGTTACCAGTAACAAGTGGTAAAATTAAACATTTTGTACAACCAACTTCATTATAAATTATTACGGATAACTCAAACTACTAGTCAGACCTTGATCAGATTTATAAGGGACCACATAACAAGCACCAGCAAAAGTTATGGGGTAACACATATAAAAAAATACAGTCTAATTGGACGTAGTTACGCAAAAACGTTCCAACCCACAAGTCTTTCAAAAATGAGTTCTTCTTGCCAACACCTTTCCTCAATGGTGTAGAGAGAGGATGATGAATAAAAGGTATTATTGTCAAGCCTATTTCTTTCATTTAAGTACTACCATTACACTTCATTTACTATTGTAACCTACCATTACTCTACTATCATTACTATGCAACTTAAGTATTGAAGATTGAAAGACACTAGGTATCTAGCGACTAACTCTCTTCAGCCAGAATCGAAGTGGTCAAACCACAAAAAAGCCTTGAAGTCTTTCAGGAAACACTTCACGTGTGATGATAATTATACCATCCTTGTTTTCTACACTATAATCTGTGCAAGTTAGAGCAATACAGGTGTAGTTTTCATTGAATTGTCGGTCAAAATCTGTCATCAAAGCGAGCCAAACTCCACGAGACGGCTTTGACACACGGCACTTTTTGACATCTAACTCTAGGAGTCTGATGGACAGACAAGGGGTGCACTTTGAGAGATGTCCTATTTTTTGGGTAATGATCTGAGAGAAGTGGAAATAAATGGAAACACGATTGCTAATTACCGTCCTCGCTTATCGCTTACTACACTTTTAGGCTATGTCGCAGTCAGGTAAAAGGTAGTTGTTGATTCTAATCTCAAAAGTATTGTTGACGTTATTATAAAAAATTGTGGCTGTTTAGATATGATTTTCAAACGGGATGGTGTTTACAACATAAAAACAAACCAATCTAGTTATAGTTTGTTTTGGGACATGAAAAATAAAAGTCAAGTCCAGCGCTTTAGGCACTTTTAACACAGCACTCTTCTTATTAATACACACAATAATCCTGAAACATTTATTATTTATTTCTACTCATAATACTGACATTTTCACTAATTGATAAAGTTTATTTTTTATTTTTATAGTAGATTATTTAGACACTGTTTAAATCCCATACAACATAAACAACCAATCTGTACATGACCCCTGTCATATCAGTAGGAGGCTAGTGCTTTCTTTGTCTAAATTGCAACTCTCTGTTCTTATCATAAGAATAAAGTATGTTTTTATCTAAAATAAGTATTTTAATTTAATAGAAGACTTATCCGTATTGCATAGCCAATTACTATGTAACACATGGCTCTAAATTAATCTATAAACAAACTTTTGTTTCACAATTATATTGAATCTATTTACTTTTAACGTAGATTACCTTATTATTTGGAATGCTTTATCGACGGTGAAGTACCAATATCTTCTAACTGCTGAAGTTAGAATTTTACACAAAGCGAAAAAAATGTTTAATTTTTTAATTAGTTTGAAATTGATGAATCTGTTTATTTATTATGAATAAGAATAATTAATTCTCTGTTTCTACTGACGTTTCAATATATTATACGATAGTGTTGTATGTATTCCGTTAGTTAGGAGGTATTTACTTTACATTTATGTATTTTTTGTAATAAATTAAGGTACTTAGATGGCTTTAACAAATACGTTAAATATTTTGAATCAGATTCTTTATTTTGTCTAATCTAATTGGTTTGAATGTAAGGAATACAATGTCGGTAATTCAAAAGTATGTATGCAATCAAATAACAATGTAATGAAAAGTTTTTAAAAGATCACTCGTGAGGTAAAGTATCATAGAACAAGTAGCAATCTCTTGGTAATAATTCTTTTAACTGTTGAAGATGATTATTTAGAAGAAGCTATAGGAATTGGTGCGGCATGCAACGGTGTATACTGCATTGAATTTAGTTTTCTCGGTCTTACAGGTAGTTCTGACCAATCATCATCAAAGTTAATTATGAAGAAAATAGTGCCTTCTGGTCTATACTGGATGACTCGCAGATCAACAACAAGAGGGTCTCCAGCTTTTTGACCCGGTCTTATGCTGCTGTACCTCCACGTCGATTTATTGCTATAATCCTTAACAAAATCATAATGGATCATAATAGCGTCATACGGAGCAATGTTTATCCGTGCCACCTTCGTCACAGTAATATCAGTCACTGGGAAAATGTAACTCCCTATTTTTTAACTTTCTTTCATTTGCAGCATGTGCTGAGTCACACTACATTTGAGTATGACCAGGCTCTAAGTAATTCTCTGTGATAGATACTTCGTGTTCAATATTTATGTTCAAGAAAGCAAACCTGTAAATTTTGGTATTCGTTTATTGACAAAAAATAGTCAAACGTACCTTCTCGCCTCGATGCCTGACCACTTGTTTTGCGTGTCGTTTCTTTACGGGTTACAAGTCCGGTTACATACACTTTGCGCTGGTCCCAATTCATATTTTTCCAGAAACTATAGTGTATCTCATATCGCCTTTCATGATCAAATTTATATTACTCTTTCTGTAAAACTGCAAGTAGCATCTATCGCCTAACTGTCTAGCAGGTCTTACTTTGCCCTGTTTGAGTTTTCTATTCTTTGGCTTTGAGTATCCCAGATATTCTTGTCCTAACATACGAAGCTTCTTATTTTTTATTTTCCTCCAATTATTTGGATCAGCTTTCATTTGGCGTTTTCTTCCTTCGCTCGTATTACCATAGTAGATACCCGATGAAGTGGATGGTTCATTTAAAAGTAACTGTGAACTAGAATTGCCCGGAGGTCAATCAGTGTCTCAGTGTCATCGCGGGAATAGTCACCATCATAGGAGTTAGTTCGTTTATTAGGTCTGTTAGGTTAAAAGGTTCAGGTGCTATCATCGCAGTATTTTCATTATTACTGAAATATTAAGGTGGAACTGAGGAACATCTTTTCCTACCGAATTCTTTGGTATCGTCGCAAGTGAGAGCCGATATCGATAAACTAAGTCCTCTATCAGCAGGACAAATATCATTGTAAATATTAAAATCATTTTGTTTTCGATACTGAACTGTAATAGTAGGTGGAACTGAAGAACAACGTCGTTGGGTCATTAAATGGTTACTCTTTGGTATGTTTGAAAGCGAATACGATTTAGTAATTTTACATCCCTTCTTTGGTCTTAGGCAGTCATTCGTAGAGGCTTTTTTTTTTCTTTTCAGGTATCAATTGCTCAGGCATATCTGAAAAGATGATAAACAGCGATAATAAAAACTTTAGAACACGGAAAATCCTAAATTCACCTCCCAGAGTCAAACCTAGAATTTGCCTGTCACAGAAATTACAGTTCAGTTAAAAAAAACTTACATGAGTTAGAGGAAGATGTTTGAAGATGTTCTGCGCAAGTCCTATAAGCATGTTTAATATTTGTCCAGCTCGAACTCCCTGATAACGCTTTGCCATTCGCGACATTATACTGAAATATTACTAAAACAATACCTCCTAATTACATCAACAAAATAAAAAAATAAGAGAAATATATCCTATCTACAGCAAAAAAAAAAAGGTTTAATAATTACAATTAAATGAATAAATAATTTATCCCTGTCGTAAAATATACTTCTTTTTCTTACCGGTTATACTTTAGATATCATCAATTTTTTTTTTATAGAATTAGGGTGACAAACGAGCACACAGTCCACCTGACGGTAAGTGGTTACTGTGACCCATAGACATCTATATCTATCCTCAATAAAGACTCAAGATGCAGATGCGTTGTCACCCATGAGGACTAAGATGGAATGCCTCTTTGCCAGTAAAAAGGGTCTCCGGTTCTCTACACTCACCATACGAAACACAGCAGCGTTAAGCTGTTATTTTACGCTGGTGTTTTGTGAGAGCGTGGTCCTTCCCCGGTCGAGCTGACCTATTCGTGCTACAACCATAATATAGCTGCAGCATGGCTCTACCACGTAAAATCAATACATCACTAACACCATTAAAATATTTTATTTAATAATTCCGGCACTCGTAGTTAAAACTATAACTCGTCGCAATAGGAATTACTGCCAACTGACTTTTCAAACTGTACTTCTTCCGCCCCTCCCACATACGCCCACCGTGAGATAAGTATGTAGTCACAGAATAAGTCCTAATTTGTCACTCGAAAGCAAACTACGATCACGTATAGACGAGTCTTTTAGAAGTTAGGAAGTAATGCCTTAAATTGATAGGATGATTTTTTTAACTTTAAATTTAAATGTATAAAAAAGTGAATTTGCCGAAAAATGTCAGATAGGAGGTATTGGCACTTCACCGTCGTTATATAATTTAATAGCAATAATTTTAAATACGAATTTATTTATATTTTATGAAATGAAAAATGACACTATTTTTTAAGCGTGTCCCAACATTATTAGTAATTTTTTATTTTAATTGCAAAGCAGAGATGCACAAATGAAACAACATGTGAATATGTCAAAAAATTAAGATTATTGAAGAAAATCTCAATTTCAATCTTAATTTTCTCTAAAACTACATATGTGTTTATGAGCACAGAAACTTTTTGCATATAGTAAATAAAAAAAGGTATCTTTTGAACAGTAGTATTTGCAAGTGCTAACTTCGGGTAATTAATATAAAGTTGACCCCCCTTTTAACCGACTTCAAAAAGGAGGAGGTTCTCAATTATACAAATCGTTCCAACTCACAAGTCATTCAAAAATAAGTTAAATATACAAATCTACTTATTTTGACATCTTTGCATAGTTATACAAAAACGTGCCAACCCACAAGTCATTCAAAAATTAGTAAAATATACTAATATAGATAATAATAATAATAAATCGGCAAATAATAGCGTCAACAATACTTTTGAGATTAGACTCAACAACTACCTTTTTCCTGACTGCGACATAACCTAAAAGTGTAGTAAGCGATAAGCGAGGAGGGTAATTAGCAATCTCGTTTCCATTTATTTCGACTTCTCTCAGATCATTACCCAAAAATAGGACATCTCTCAAAGTGCACCCCTTGTCTGTCCATCAGACTCCTAGAGTTAGATGTCAAAAAGTGCCGTCTGTCAAAGCCGTCTCGTGGAGTTTGGCTCGCTTTGACGACAGATTTTGACCGACAATTCAATGAAAACTACACCTATATTGCTCTAACTTGCACAGATTATAGTGTAGAAAACAAGGATGGTATAATTATCATCACACGTGAAGTATTTCCTGAAAGACTTCAAGGCTTTTTTGTGGTTTGACCCCTTCGATTCTGGCTGAAGAGAGTTAGTCGCTAGATACCTAGTGTCTTTCAATCTTCAATACTTAAGTTGCATATGTAATGATAGTCGAGTAATGGTAGGTTACAATAGTAAATGAAGTGTAATAGTTGGATTTAGGAGTACTTAAATGAAAGAAATCAGCTTGACAATAATACCTTTTATTCATCATCTTCTCTCTACACCATTGAGGAGAGCTGCTGGCGCTGATATTTTCGGCTGATGCCTGGCCCATCCAATGTACCACACAAGCGTCATAATTCATAACATGTGCACAGCACCAAACCTTTCTTCTACCAACTAAACAATTACAGCAATACTCTATTATAGCTTCCCTTAGAGACACATTATTTTCAATTAATATACAAATGTAATATACTTTTCTTGAAATGTGTCTGGTTTTTATTTTGCCTCTTCTAAGTGAATTATTTCCACTTCTTCTCAAGCGATACTCTGTTACATTTATATTTTCTCTGCTTATTTCAATACCCTGCGTGAAACCTGACATGTTCACTATAATAAGACCTTGCCTGTGGGATCTGATATGTTCCTAGGGCAAATAATATAAGTTCACTATATTCTTGACAGGGCAATATAATATTAATATTGGAATGAGCTGTAATACTAGTAAAATTAGATGTTCGTCTACTCATATTCATAGTGTTTATAAAATCAGATAAATTATTATTTGATGAAAATCGTTCCCTAAACACATTTATGATTTGCTCAGCATCATTCCTATTTTTTAACCGAACACTGAATTTATTTAAAAGGCTGGCAGCTATGGAAAACATTTGCATCATATGTGCAACAGTTTTAATTAAAAAATCTTGCCGGAATATTTTAGTCTCCTTTGAAGTACCCGTTAATGTCTTCCACCACCCAACGGCATACGGTCACACAACAACTTGTTAGCTTGCTCGGTGGTGAGCTGATGCTCACCCTCAAGCTGGGTTTCCGGCATATATGTTATGTAGCTGCAAGCATCTAACAAGCTAATTGAGTCTCGAAATCCCCTGTCTAAGAATAAAAATGTCATTATATTGAAAGTACTGTCTGAAAGGAGAGTTTTCGTCTCTGAAAAGAGACTTCATTATATCTGCATCAGACGTAGTAGCTTTGTATGGCCCAAAGCAGTCTACAATGTAGACATCAGGTGTCACCAGCAAAAATGGTTTTAAGAAGCTTTTGTACTTATGTAAAGCAAACCATCGAACATTGGCTCGCGCGGCAGCCGCGCGAAGTCGATACGCAGCTTATGGAATACGTGTCCTTTTGGAACATGTAATTGAAACTTTTGTTTATGTAAATATATGTTATCTAAGTCACCAGTTCTCATCTTCATTAGAAGAGCACCTAAACCCAAAATGTCTTTATTTGTTTCTATAAGACGAGGCATTTCATAAAGTAAAAGTTCAAATTGCTGTTTATTCATTCGGAGCCAATAATGAAACAAATGTTCATCGATTCTTTCAACACTTTCCATACTCGAGAAATCGAGAAATGTGTTATAAGCATTTATAAAATAATGCATGTTCCACTTGTTCAGCCGTAAATGTTTTAAAACTGTTTGGAGAATTGAACAACATATCCCAATCAGTGCTAAATGTATGTTCTACACAAATACGAGCATTTATAGGCAAGTAATATTTGTGTTTCATAAGAGTTATTGCTCTTAGAGGGTCAGAAATGCTGTGCAAATCTCTATTCTGGCAACCGGAAAAAACAATGTGCTGCAGTGTTAGCCGCTCGTCTGTACTGCGGTAAACTAATCACCCTAGGTACTTCGTCAGTTTGTTGGTCGACTTCCCCGTAAGACTCTCCGCCTCATTTCCTCCAAGATTTACCGGTCTGCGATGGAGACTCAGGTGAATGGATAATTTTCAAAACGGTGTTTGAAAACACACGTGGACATTTTCATACGTGGCAGAACCATGCTGCAGCTTTATTAGTAGTATAGATGTAGCGTGTATAGATGTACCAGCATAAAATAGCAGCTTAAAACTGCTGAGTTTCGTATGGTGAGTGTAGAGAACCGGAGACCCTTTTTACTGGAAAAGAGGCATTCCATCTTAGTTCTCACGAGTGACAACGCATCTGCATTTTGATTCGCAAACGAGGATAGATGTAGATGTCTATGGGTCACAGCAACTTACCATCAGGTGAACTGTGTGCTCGTTTGTCACCCTATCCTATAAAAATAAACATTTTTCAAGAGTGCAGAATGTAGCACGCCTTAGGAGGGCATTAAAAGGCATCGCTAAGGAAGCGGTTAAATCATTGTTGTTTACTTTATATGAACCGGACGAAATAATGAACAATCGAAAGATAGGATTGAGATGCTCATTCTATCCGAAATCGAGAATGTGAAGCGTATGCCAAGACTGGTAAAAGATGGCAGAAGCATCGGCTCCTTTGCTAGTCGCGTAACGAATATGTTTGCTTCGATACAAGCATTGAATCAACCACAGTATTTATACTCGTTGGAGTTGGTGAGTCGTATATTGGAGAAGCTCGGAACTATAATTAAATTTAAATGGTTTGAGTATCGAGCTCAACATCTTATGGAGCCAGAGCTGCAGAAGATGGCGAAGTTTTTGAACTCGTTGAGTGAACAGTTTGATGAATCATTCAACGCTAAAATAGTAAGCATTATGAACGCCGAGATGATAAGAGGCATGACCGATAAGCGGTTAAGACAACTCAGTATAAACCTGCAAGTCGGGTAACACGTAACTGTGTTATATGTAACAAAGAGCACTCTATGGAGTGTTGTTACAAATGTATAAATATGGATAACCGTGAGAAATGGGAAGCGGTTAAGAAAGCGAACATATGTTTTCAATGTATAACACCTTACCTTAGGAGGTCGAGGCGTAGGGCGAAAAAATGTGGTGTAGATGGATGTTAAATTGGGCATCATCGTAATCTGCACCGATACCCCAATATAAAATAAACTTCTAATTAAACTATTTATTTTTAATAGAATAGCAAGATAGAATCAAATAAAAATTATAAAAAAAGAACTACATATTAATAAAGAAAAAAACGGCAGCACATATTACGTGCTTACAAAATTATTTGTTTTCTTTGGGTCCACAGGATAAAGAACAATTTATTGGCATTGAATGAGACTTACAAATAGATTTTTTTAAAAAGATTTACGTAATTGCCCCAGGCCTTTAATCTTCTTCCTCTTCACTGGGAGAAGAGTCTTTGCTTTGCTCGATCATCGAACCAGAAACGCGTTCGCTATGTATCGATTCTTGATCACCAAAGTCACAAACTTCTTCCAGGTTATATGTTTCTATGTTATTTTACTTTCTGAGTCAGTATAGTGTTGTATAAGTCGTGAAATATCATCACCATAGATAAAGCGACTCATTGTTATAAATATCCTAAAATAAAAGCAAATCACTGTGTTATCATATTGTAAATAAATACTACGTAATAGCAGAAGGCACGGAGTCTACAGGTACTTACCGTACCGAGCACGGTGCAATTCACCTGTCGAGAGCCGCTACAGCACACTGACAATGCCTAAGACCCCGCCCGTGTAGTTAAAGGTTAACAAGTTCAAAAATAAGAAGGTTCTATATATAAATTAAAAGGAAAAAATAATTTAACTTTTAACAAAAAGTCTGTTACAAAATTTCAAAACTAAAAATTATTTTATACATTGTCTTAGGATCTCCTCAAAATTAATAATATAATATTTGTTCTGTGTTTATTGCGCCTAGTATACGTCTTATTAACAATTGCTTATCACGTCCTGTCAATGTTGTAATTTTCCTATTTTTAGTTGTCAATTCCTCTAAATTGTTTTTGTTCACTATTTTTAATTTAATCATAGATTATTCTATACATATATGTGTAGGCGAAAGAGGACTCACTCTCATGATAAATGGCGCAAATATGAGTGCGTTTCGACATAAAATACAAGAAAATATAATAAATAGATCGTTAGCAATTCGTCGCAAATATATGGTACGCTTTCCTGTACAATATATTTGCGACATTATCCTATATATATACATATAGGATATGTATATATATATATATATATATGGCTGCCACGTTACCACCGATACGTTTCGCTAGAATAAAACCACTCTGGATCTGGCCAGTATTCTATAGATATATTTTAGAAACTTAATTTTTGCAATTGCCTTGGTGTGTGAAAGATATTCGCCATCAGTAAAATTATAGCGTACCAGTTTTTTCAAAATAGAGCTCACAACAGGTATATTCATCGTGGGTGCCAAACGTACACCATTCGGCACGTTTGGCGGCGTGTTCCGCAACACGACAGCCTCGGAACTGCAGACTACTGCCATGGTGGCCGCCCTGCGTGAATCCGGAGTGGCGCCCACACAGATCGACAGCGTAGTCGTCGGGCAAGTTATGCCGGTGAGTTTCCCATTTCTGAACACCTAACAGTTACTTAAATTACAATGGTAAATTATATTTTTTATTTATAGAATAAGGGTATCAAACGAGCATTTAACGTTCCATCTGATAGTAAGTGGATGATTAGGCCCAAGGACTTTCTATCCTCGATTAAGAGTTAGAAAGCGGATGCGTTGTCACCTCTGAGGACTAATATGGAATGCCTCGTTTCCAGTAAAAAGTGGTCTCCGGTTCCCTACACTCATAATACAAAACAGCAGGATTAACCTGCTATTTTACGCTAGCATTTTGTGAGAGCGTGGTCCTTCCCCGTTTGAGGCCAACCCAGCCAACTATAATATAGTTGTAGCATGACTCTACCACATTAAGCATTAAAAAACATTGAGTATCTTGCTTCGCCATAAGGAAAGATCTGTTAGTTTGACCTATGAAAGAACATTTAGTTGATTTTAGAAATAAGACTATGAATTTAATAAAGTACATCATCACCAAATAATTTGACAAGTAATTCGCAGTACTGAAGCTATAAATTTGTTCAGATATCGCAAGTGGATGGGTCATACACCCCGAGGCACTCGTCTCTCAAGGCGGGTATACCGCAGGACCGGCCGGCACTCGGCGTCAACCGGCTTTGCGGCTCCGGATTCCAAGCCATTGTCAACAGCGCGCAGGTATGAAGGACATGTACTACTTAGTTTTATCATATCTTTATCCAAAAAGTAGTTAACACAAAAGCATAGTCCCATGTGGTCTGGGTTCAACGACTCCGCCTGCAGCCTTCGAGGTCGTCTCTTTTATTGGTGTGTCGCCTCCACGGAGCAAATACAAAGAGGAGACGCCCGAAGCAACTGTGCAATGTGATTCTAGGTCCTGATGTCATCACAGTAGGCGTGGCTTTAGTTAGTACACTGTCAGCGTTCGTCCTGTGCGCTTATGTGTCGGAAATCGCAAATCGGTGTATTTTCGTAGTATTAAGAAGAAAAGGATGAAGTGTTGTGTTTTATCGTGTAAAAACTATTCAGATAGACGCTCTGATGTTATGGATGGCACCACATTTCATTTGTAAGTAATTTTATACTTAATTTATTAAAATAGTTCTAAAAAAATCTCTTTGCGTCGGCTTTCATATAATTAAATATATTCGACACTAGATGGCACTAGATTCCACACAGTGTCATGGGAATTAAAAATATAAAGGTACGTAGAGCTCAGTATTGGTAAAATAATTATATGAAGATGATGAAATTTGTTTTGCACTCAATCCTAAAGAATTTTTAATCGCTAAAATATTAATTTTATAGTTTTTATAATCATTTTGTGAACAGGCCACCATCTATCGTCAACGTAGCTAAACTACATTGCAACATCGATATGGAACGATGGGGAGTAGTTTTACTATTTATCGGTAGATGGAAAATAGTAAAGTGGGCGGGGCTTAACATCCCCTCACCCCGCGAATTGTCACGCGTTGTTACATAGTGAAATCTAAATACAACACCTCTATCTATTTGCTCCGTGGTCGCGTCACGCTGTATTTGTCATTACAGAACTGCTACTCAAGAAACGTATGTCATGTCTGTTGTTGCGTTAGGTGGACTAGTATAATTAATAATTAAAGTCACCATAGAACATAATAATTTATATTTATCGTACAAATTTAATATGCGATAAGGTGCGTTGACGTTCGTCGCCTATGGAAACTAGTTCTGGTGTGGGCGCAACATACGAGCTTCCAAACATCGCCATATAAAAGTCCACTGCTGCTCAATAGATATAGGAAGGGATTTTGCCGTAATCACCATTACTGTGTAGTGGCAGTGTAAGAATATCCACTACTACCATATTGTCCCGTGGGTGTCGTAAGAGGCGACAGAGGGAAACAAACCAGGGTTGCCAACTATGGCAAATATCACCCCTGTGAGGGGTCCCCAATCTATGGGGTAGACCTATGTTCAGCAGCGGACTTTTAAATAGGCTATAACGGTAAAAGTCACATCACTGGATATTGTTACTGCCAATAACCTAGATTTTTTATATGTGGTAGAGCCATGCTGCAGCTATATTTCTGGTATAGTTGTAACACGAATGGGTCGGCTCGACTGGGGAAGGACCACGCTCTCACAGAATACCAGCGTAAAATAGCAGCTTAAAGCTGCTGTGTTTCGTATGGTGAGTGTAGAGAACCGGAGACACTTTTTACTGGAAACGAGGCATTCCATCTTTGTCCTCACGGGTGACAACGCATATGGATTTTGATTCGTAATCGAGGATAAATGTAGATGTCTATGGGCCACAGCAACCACTTACCATCAGGTGGACTGTGTGCTCGTTTGTCACCCTTAGCCTATAAAAAAAAAATATTCACGTCGGCTTAAATTCTTATGTTCCATTTACTTACAGGACATTCTCACTGGTGCAGCCAAAATCTCTTTGGCTGGTGGTGTAGAGAACATGTCCCAAGCTCCATTCGCCGTTCGTGGCGTTAGATTCGGGACAGCCCTGGGTACTTCTTATGCATTTGAAGATACATTGTGGTCGGGACTTACTGACACCTACTGTGGCCTGCCCATGGGTATGACTGCAGAGAAACTTGGCGGACAGTTTGGCATTACTAGGGACGAGGTTGACAACTTTGCTTTAAAGTCTCAACAGAGATGGAAAGCCGGTGAGCTTCTAGATTATTTATATTTTTGCATTATAATTATTTTTTACTATCATGGGGGGTATAGGTATATAGTTTAGGTATACGGTATACCTCATAACTTGAAAACTAGACTGTACCACCATTGCGTGTTGCCAGTGATGACCTATGGAACTGAGACGTGGTCCTGCACTGCTGGCCGGATGAGGAAGCTCAAGGTCGCTCAGCGAGCTATCGAAAGGGCTGCGTGATAAACTTAGAAATGAGGATATCCGCAGTAGAACCAGAGTGACCGACATAGCCCAACGGATTAGTAAGCTGAAATGGCAATGGGCCGGCCATATAGCTCGAAGAACAGACAACCGATGGGGAAAAAGGTTCTCGAGTGGCGGCCTCGTGCCGGCGGACGGATTGTAGAGCGTCCCCCCACTAGGTGGAGTGACGACTTGGTAAGATATGCAGGAAGTCGATGGATGCAAATGGCTCAGGACCGTGCTTTGTGGCATTCTCCTTGGGGGAGGCCTATGTTCAGCAGTGGACTTGTAAAGGGCTGTAATGATGATGATGAATTATTTTTTACTTGTGTAGTAACAGTGTAGTGGCGTTGTAAGAATATTTACTACCTGACGTCCTCCTGCGTGTGTCGTAAGAGACGTCTGAGACCAACCGAAAGAGAAGACGGGCAGCAGCATATTTCTGATAATAACTCAAAATTATAAAAAAAACTGTGATTGCCAAGCCGCCATCCAAACGTGGTAAATATGACAAAATCAGCTATGTGGCAATCTATGGGGGATATATTTAGTTTAGTTGAGTTAGTTTAGTTTACGACGGATTGTTTTCCGCAACTCCACTTCTAAGCGCTTATTTTACGTGTGGGCAGAAATAATGTAATTATTCGAGCCATAAGATCTCCCCGAAGAAGTTCAACCACTCCTTTGATGTTCCGAGCAAATTCGGAGAGTGATCCCGGCGTGCCGAGATATTTAGTCCTGTATGCAGCGACCTCCGGATATGTCAGCCACACGTGGGCCGCCGTTTCTTCCTCCCCCATACATGCTCTGCACAGGGGACTGTCTGTAACACCTATGGTAAATAAATGTTTGTTAAAGGTGCCGTGTCCTGTAATAGCACTTGTTACTATCCTGATCTGCGGATTGTTCAGTCTCATTAGCACCTTGGTTAAACAGCTGTTTATTTCAGGCAGGGCCTCCCTAGCTTGTCTACAGTCTACTAAATTTTTCCAAAGCTGAGCATGTTGATTAGTGAAGTGTCTACATGCTAGTGTACAAACGTTACTAAAGGGTATTGGTAAGATTGGTTCCGGTCCTATAGTGGCCAGAGCCGATCCTCTTCTGGCCAGTTCGTCTGCTGCATTGTTGCCTCTAGATCCACTATGTCCCTTGATCCATTGCAAAGTCACATTGATGTGTTTACATACCTCATTTAATCGTTGATGGCATTCATATATTAGTCCCGAGTTCACCAAATTGCAACTCAGGACTTGTAGTACCGCCCTACTGTCGGTCAGTATTCTGATGGAGAAGTCATTAACCTTCCTAGCATCTATTGCTATGGCCGCTTGAATGATACCCATGCATTCCGTCTGAAAAACTGTGTTATAGGTACCTAGCGGTGTGCATATGTGGATATTGAGATCTTCAGAGATAGTTCCAGATCCTACACCTCCTTTTGTTTTAGAACCATCAGTGAAAACTAAGCTCTTTTGAGCTTAATCCTTCCGACTGGCTGGTTTCATTTAATTGTATCTTGTACTTCTTATTGAATACAAATTGTTTTGGGATCTTATCGTACTTGGCTTGTAAGATAGGAATTTTTGAGTGAATTCTATCAATTATGCCTGTATGAGGGACTGTATTCCTACTTCAAAGATTTAAGGTCTTGAGTATAATGGCAGCTAAAGTCGCTTCTTGTTGTATGTGTAGATGAAGCGGGGTCAGCTCCAGCATCGCCTCTAAGGCTGCTGTTAGCGTAGTCCTTATGCAGCCTGTGGCAGCCATACATGCCAGTCTCTGGTAACGCTGAAGCTTCTTTATAGTGGTGGCTTCATTTGTTTTGGTTCATCATACCAGAGCGCCGTATGTGATCATGGGCAGTTTTATACAACCACAGTATGATTTTTGGCGTCAGACCCCATCTTTTGCCAATCATGTTCTGCATTGCCACAAAGTTACACTAGTTTTGTTGATATTGTTTTCTATGTGCTTATTCCAGTTGAGTTTACTGTCCAAGGTAAGACCTAAATATTTTACCTCAGAGAAAAGCTGAAATTTTGTGCTGAAAAGAGTTGGGAGTAGATAATTATTCGGCATTATTTTTTCTGTGAACATTACTAGGACCGTTTTATTTGGATTAACGATTAGGTCGTATTCCTTGCACCATCTCTCCACTATACGAAGAGCTGCTTGGGTCGGGTCGCACACCATGCTAGCTGTCTTTCCGGAGACCAGTATTGTCAGGTCATCAGCATAACCTACTGTGTAGAAGTGATTGGCGTTTAATTTACTGTTCATTAATGACCATATTCCACAGGAGAGGTGAAAGAACCCCACCCTGCGGGCAACCTTTCTTAATCTGTATTGTATCTGTTTGAGATTCACCAGCATTTTTTATAACTGGCTTTACGGCTCTGGGTTCTAGCCCTTCTGAGCCTAAAGTTACAATGTATAATTATCCTTCATAGTACGCTGCTTCACAAAATATTGATGCGTCACATCAGCCCTTGGGAGATTTTGACGGCAACTTGAGCCAGCAGACAGCTGACAGTTGGCGATGGTATCTCAAGGCGCCTAAGCAGACAGACACCTTATCTTGAGAATCACATCACCATCAGCGCACTTGTTTCACCACTTCAACTAAATCACACCGCTTTTACATATCAAAATGCATTTCAAACCATTATTTAAACAAAAATACATGAGCAGCAATCCGTCGCCGGTCAAGTTCCCGCCAAAATGTTCGTGTACTGAGCATATTTACTATCCAGTCAATCAGTGCCGGCTCAACTTTACGTCTACTGAGTGCATTTTTTTATGCTGGAGAAGTTCGTTCTGTCAAAAGCACCTTCTATATCTATGAAGGAACCTAGACATGTTACTTTGTTTTGGATGGCCTCTTCAATGTTTGTTATTACCTGGTGAAGTGGCGATTCTGTCGATTTACCTAAGCTGTGGGCGTGTTGTGTGATATATATATAATTTATGGATCAATGTTTAGCAGAGGACTTTTGTAGGCTGTAGTGAATGGATGAATGTATTTTAATTTTTCTTTTGCCGTGGTAGGATATAATCTTTTTATTTATATTCTTACACAGCCAACGATGCTGGAATTTTCAAAGCGGAGATTGAACCAGTGACACTGAAGATTAAGAAGAAGGAGGTGGCTGTGGAAGTGGACGAGCACCCTCGTCCCCAGACCACGTTGGAGGGACTCAAGAAGTTGCCGCCCGTGTTCAAGAAGGATGGATTGGTTACTGCTGGAACTGCTTCAGTAAGCAATTATTTGAGATTTGACATTAATCTGCTATGCTGAAGTTAAATACTGGTTGTAGCTCGAAAAAAGGTTATCTTTAGTACAGCATGAGAGATGTTATCACTGCCTTGGTCTAGTGGTTGAAAACGTGACTGATGATGTGCTGATTATGTTGTCCCAGGTTCGAATCTCGGGTCAGGCCAAAATTAGTAATTTATACCTCCATGCACAAACTACCTATTACATATGGAGGACATAATGTCATTGAGCATTCTCTCCCAGTCAACTATTAAACAGAAATAGATATATAAGAGTTACTAGGAATTTTCTGTCAAAACATTCTCAGTCCCTCGTGTCTCGGAAAGTATGTAAAGCCGTTGGTTCTCCGTTAGACCTTTCTCTGGTCTCTGAAATGCCGTGATTTTCTTTTTTTTAATTATAGATTTTGTAAGTCTATTGCAATAACCTAATACAAGAAAATGTTCCTCCCAGGGTATAAGCGACGGCGCTGGGGCACTAATCCTCGCGAGCGAAGAAGCTGCCAAGAACTTGAAACCACTAGCTCGGCTGGTGGGCTGGTCGTACGTGGGCGTGGACCCCAGCATTATGGGCATTGGACCCGTTCCAGCTATTGAGAACCTGCTCAAGGCCACAAAAATGACGCTGAACGATGTGGACCTCGTTGAAGTAAGACTATTTTATTGGTCACTTAGATCTTAGAAACATGTTTAATTATAAATGTTTTTAATATCCTATAAATAAAAAATATTATTTAGATTTATAACAAACTTTGTTGACGCCGCGTGTTGGGATAGTCAAATAAATCACCCCGTTTCCTTGTAAGAGTCAAGTAGGTGAAGTGCCTTAAAATCAGTTCTCTTACAATGGTGTGATAAAACCCATCTTGTATACTATAAAAAATCGTGTATGAAAATTCTACGAATTGAATGAAATTAAATTTGACTCATCATCATCATCATCATTACAGCCCTTCACAAGTCCACTGCTGAACATAGGCCTCCCCCAAAGAATGCCACAAAACACGGTCCTGAGCCACCTGCATCCATCGACTTCCTGCATGTCTTACCAGGTCGTCACTCCATCTCGTGGGGGGACGCCCTACACTTCGCCTACCGGTACGAGGCTGCCACTCGAGAACCTTTCTTCCCCATCGGTTGTCGGTTCTTCGAGCCATATGGCCGGCCCACTGCCACTTCAGCTTACTAATCCGTTGGGCTATGTCGGTCACTCTGGTTCTACTGCGGATATCCTCATTCCTAAGTTTATCACGCAGAGAAACTCCGAGCATAGCCCTCTCCATAGCTCGCTGAGCGACCTTGAGCTTCCTCATACGGCCAGCAGTGAAGGACCACGTCTCAGTTCCGTAAGTCATCACTGGCAACACGCACTGGTTGTACAATTTCGTTTTAAGGTTTTGAGGAATACCCCCCAAATTTGACTAAGTATAAGCAACTGTCAAGCTTTAATATGACCTTCTTTTATTGACTACTAGCGATGTGCCTCGACTCCACACGGGTTATTTCTGGATCTCGAGTACAGCGCCTCCTACCGGGTCCATATGTGAATCTAAACCAACTGGGAACCCATTCAAACACATAAGTTCTTTTATCAAAATATTTCGAACCGTTTTTGAGGTGTTTTGTCAATTGCTGTCCTTTAGCGAGCTAGCCACCTAGGTCTTTTCCGCAAGACAGTAGAATATGCAGCAAAAACAAATCCAAACAATATACTCAGGTTTTTGTTCTTAATGTGTTAATAATATTTCTTTTAGTAATATTATGTTCTTTGTTCTATCCCAACACAGGTTTTCCTACCAAGCATGATTTACAAGGCTATTAAAATAAATCTAAAAATCCCATAACTAGACTTAGAGTAATTATATGTTTAGTATTATTATATGTTTAATTATCACTTATAGCTTTCTAAGAAACCCAGAAACGACTGACTAACAAAGGCAATTTTCATAGTGCAAATATTTAAACATGCTGTGCTACAATGGAGTGCACTTTCACAGATCAACGAGGCATTCGTTGCGCAGACACTCTCCTGTGCCAAGGCACTGAAGCTGGACCTGGAGAAACTGAACGTGAACGGTGGCGCTACTGCTGTAGGACATCCTCTCGCCGCTTCTGGAGCCCGCATCACTGCCCACCTCGTTCACGAACTCGAGTATGATAGTTTCACGTATTTATTTTTTTTACATGGTAGAGCCATGCTGCAGCTATATTATGGTTGTACCATGAATGGGTCGGCTCGACCGGGACAGGACCACGCTGTCACAGAATACCAGCGTAAAATAGCAGCTTAATGCTGATGTGTTTCGTATCGCAACAGTGGTAAAGCCACTCGGCAGCCATTGCTGTTGCACGTACGGGCCGGCTCGAACCGCGATGATACCACGACCTCACAGAAGACCAGCGTGAAGTAGAAGCTCTGATTCTGCATTTCGTCTGGTGAGTACAGGCGGCTGGAGGCCCAATTCCCCCCCCCCCCCCTACCCCAGGAGGGTACCAGCATCCCCGGTGACGAATAATCCCTCGCTGAGTATCCACGCCCAAGCTACCCTATATTATATATATATATATACCTGAGCGTGGGTGCTCAAGCTGCCCCGCGTATTCTTGGGGGTAGCGAAATTCCGCTCGAGACTAAACGGAGCAATAACTGATTAGCGACCGCAAGTACAGTTTCCGTTGAGGTCGCTCAGCTGATGATTTTCTAGGTTACCTAACTCTTAGATGGGTGGAGGCAGTGGTGTCCAAGGGGGAGGAGGAAAATACTTTGGACATAGCGAAGGCCTTCGATCGGGTTTGGCACAAAGCGCTTCTTTCGAAGCTCCCTTCCTATGGGCTTCCCGAGAAATTGTGCAACTGGATCACCAGTTTTCTTGCAGATCGGAGCATCAAGGTCGTAGTAGACGGTGCATGCTCCGATTACAAGCCAATTAACGCTGGTGTTCCACATCCTCGGCGTCGACATATCGAGTGACGTGCAGTTTCGTGGTCACTTGAAAGAGAAGACCAAATTGGTCTCTAAAAAGCTTGGCGTGCTCAGCAGAGCGGGACAGTATTTCATGCCGGCACACCGCCTGCAACTTTACAAGGCGAAGGTTCGGCCTCACATGAAATACTGTTCCCATCTCTGGGCTAGGGCTTCCCAGTGCCAGCTCCTTCCATTTGATCGCATCCAGCGCAGAGCTGTTCAAATTGTCGGCGATCGAACTCTTTCCGATCGGCTTGATTCACTGGCACTACAAAGAGAGATGTTGCAACTCTTTGCGTATTTTATCGCATTTACCACGGGGAGCGCTCTAAGGAATTATTCGGATTAATTCCAGTCGCACAATTTCACCATCGCATATCGCGACAAAACTCGGGATACCATCCATACCATCTGGATGACTGGCGGCCCACCACTGTGCGATTAAAAAGAAGTTTTCTTCCTCGTACAATTTTCATGTGGAATCGACTACCACCAGCGATTTTTCCGGACCGATACGAATTAGGGACCTTCAAGAAAAGAGCCTACTCCTTTTTAAAAGGCGGGCAACGCATCAGCAATTCCCCTGGTGTTGCAATTTTTCGTGGGCGACACTTACCATTAGGTGAGGCGAATGCTCGTATGGTGAGTGTAGAGAACCAGGAATCTTTTTTACTGGAAACTAGGCATTCCATCTTAGTCCTCAGGAATAACAACGTAGATGTCCATGGGCCACAGATTCCGCTTACCATCACGTAGTCTGTGTGCTTGTTTGTCATCGTTTTTCTGTAAAAATAATTTATTTATGACTTCTCCGTTACAAATACATTCTGATTTGACCAAGTTCATTTAAAAAAATATTCGATCGTCAACTTATGATTTAACTGAGCCGTTCGTAAGTTATAGAACTAGTAATTTAGTACAAAAATGGTTTTTTGAAGCACTTTTAAACGGGTCGCCAAGTAAAACGAAACATTTATTAAATATAGAAACCAACTTTAATGACTAATTATTTGGTTCCAGACGCCGCGGTTTGAAGAGAGCTATCGGGTCAGCTTGCATCGGCGGCGGCCAGGGCATCGCTCTTATGATAGAGGCCGTTTAACTTGATATGACATCTAAATATACATTTAAATATTTTAACATTTGTTATAAGCTAGATTGTCGTGTTCACTCGATGAATCTTAATTATGAGACTCTTGAATAAAAAGTTAGGTAAAGGACTTAGTCGCTGAGGTGGACATCCAAATAAAAACTTATTTACAAAGATATTGTTGATGAGACAATGATTGAAATAAAAAGAGGGTGGCTTAATATTTTAAAACAAATGCAAATTTTGTGAATACCCAGTTAAAGTAAGATTCATATGTATATTTATAATGAATGACATTATATTTTATAGAGGTTTTTGGAGGTTATTGTTAAATAGTGCTCCTACCAGTGAACACACATAATTTGTAAGCGATAATTATTATGGTATTGTTTTTTTGGAAACTGATTTTATATATTTTATTTTTACTAACAGTATGTAACCTATACATAAGTAAAGGTGAAGAATTATAGATACCAGTGAAATAATCAAGTAATTTTTACAACATTTTGTATTTCCTTAGTTTATTGAGTTAATCCGCTATTGCGGCTTTTTTTGACTGTGCGATAAATCATTGAGACAATCCGCTATTGCGGTTTATATAAATGACTGTGCAATAAATATGATTTTCTTTTAATAAATGTGATTTTATTTTAGTAATACTTTACTAGGTGGTCAGATCAGATCAGGTCAGTTCGCCTGCCGGTTTTGCCAACAATGGCATATGTCCCTCGTATGAGTTAATTTAACGGAGAGGCCTATATGTTTATGATGATGAGATGAGGGTTGCAGTATAATTACAAACTATGTGGCATTTCATTTTAGTCCTCAGGGATGACAACGCATCTGTGGCCTTCATTGTTTGAAGTCAAGCATGAAGCTTTTCTTATACATGATAGAGCCACGCTGCAGCTATACTATATTGTATTATGGTTGTAGCACGAATGGGTCGGCTTGACCGGGGAAGGACCACGCTCTCACAGAATGCCAGAGTAAAATAGCGGCTAAATGCTGTTGTGTTTCGTATGGTGAGTGTATAGAACCAGCATTCCATCTTACTCCTCAGGGGTGACACCGCATCTGCATTTTGATTATTATTTGTGGACAGTTGTAGATGTCTATGGGCCGCAGCATCCACTACTATCAAGTGAACTATGTGCTCGTATGTCACCCTTATTTTATACAAAAATAGTTTATATAACACAGTATCAATAATATTTGGCAGTAACGTTCGAAACGAGCGAGCACCTATAATTAACTATTATTTATTCTGTGCTAGAACCAACGACTTCTCTTTTTTATAGGATAAGTGTGATAAACGAGCGCACAGTTAACCTGGTGGTAAGTGGATGCTGTGGCCCATAGACATCTACAATTATTCTCGATTAAGAATCAAAATGCAAATGCGTTGTCACCCCCGAGCCCCGAGGAGTAAGATCGAATACCGCGTTCCCAGTAGCTATGCTAGGTATATACCTAGTCAGGTCATAAATCCTGTCACATGTTTAATATAAAATAATTAAAACAAATTTATTCATTATGTAACCATTTATATACCAAAATGAACTTAACAAAACATAGATTCTTATGACAAATTATTCAAAATGACCTCCGTGATTTTGAATACAGGCCTTCAATCTGCGCGGCCAGTCGTCTATCGCAGCACGAACAAGGTCCATGTCAATATCGGCGGCTGCCTTAATCAAGGATGTCTTGAGTGACTCCAAATTGGGATGAGGCTTTGAGCACGCCTTTTCCTCCAAGTGTTGCCATATCTTGTAATCTAACGGATTCAAATCTGGACTGGAGGAGGGCCAGTCTTCGTGCCGGATGAAGTCGATTTCACGCGCCGCCAGCCAGTCTTGTGTGCTCTTCGCTCTATGAGCTGGCGCCGAATCTTGTTGGAAACCCCAGTGCCTGTTATTGAACATGGTATGAGAAACAGGTTCCACAAGGTTCGTCAGGACTGTATTTTGATATACAACTGCATTAGTTTTTACACCTTTCTCACAAAAATGTACCTCTGTTAAGCCCCAATAAGAAACTCCCAACCATACAATGAGCGAGGATGGAAAATGACCTCGTTGGACACGCGGAATACGGTTGCTCGCTTCTTTACTACTGTGTGCGTACACCTTATCATTTTGTTTGTTGTAGCTCTCTTCTACGGTAAAATTTTTTTCATCCGAAAAAAGAATTTCCCGATATTTTTTTCCCGCGTACCGCTTCAACAAAGCGCGGCATCTCTTCAGTCTCAGGTCCATTAGACGAGCATTCAAACGATGTCCTGTTTTTCTTCGATATGCCCGAAGCCCTAAGTCTTCATTTAACATCCTATTCACCATGGTTCTGCTTAACCCCATCTGAAGGGCCAACAGTTTCTGCTTACGTTTGGGATTTCTTTGAATTCTCGCCTTCACAGCTTTTATCACTGCTGGAGTCCTAACAGACCGAGGGCGACCACTTCTTGACCTGTCATCTACACTAGAGTCTTCATTGAATCGTTTGATGGTACGATAAACGAATCTTTTGGTTATATTCAAATTTTTCAGTATGTCAAAAATTTGAATTGACGCGTAACCGCAACGATGCAACGCAATAACTGCAACACACTCTTCTTTAAGCGTCCACTCCATATTTAAAAATGAGTAAAATTCTAAAAAGTATACAGTTTTATTTTCATGAACAATTCGAATTCAATAAACTTTTTTGTGGCCAGCATTATAAAAGAAAAGTTTTTACTGTGTGACAATACTTATGACCTGACTAGGTATATACCCGCGACTCATTAGTTAAATCTCCATAATATACTAAGCTCTTCGATGATGTGTTTCGAGTAATATTCACGCAAACACAACTATATATATATTGTTATTTAATTGTGGTGTGCTGATAAGGAAAGAAGTTATCTCCAGTTGTGTCGTACACAGAAATACGAACCTACATTCCGTAACAAGTTTTGTTTTGTTATTGTACGAGGTCAGTTGCTAATGGCGCTTAAAAGTAAAGGTAAGAATATCTTATTTTTTTATAAATTTTTCGTATAACGGTACCTACCTATGATTGGCTTTCACTATTGTATGTACACGTACGTACAATATATACGTTGTATATATATTGTAGGTATATGTTATCTTACGTGTTTTAAAAAACTCTAATTTTGACGTGATTGAAAATTTTATAACCTACCTATCTCAATGTTAAATATATAAGTACTGATGTTGTACGAACTGAATATTACGTAAAAAATTAATTTATATAAATTTAATGGACCTTCATATGCAGAAAATATCCAAACCACAAACTGGTCAAAAAATATACATACCGATATTTAATTCTAAATAATTTTATGTTTTTATGGGTTGGATCATTTCCGCACAATACGCTCCACATTGAGTTATATGTAATACGCACTAGATATATATTATATCGATGACGGTCCAAATTAAGAATCATAATAATTATGTAGGCAATGCGCGGTTTTCCATTCACCAGCACGGCAATGACTCCCACCGGGACGGCAAACTGCCCGCTCATTGTCGGCCGGCAAAACTGTATTGTAACCGTGTGCGTGAGTATAACCTGTCGGAAATATCTGCGAACCTCGCTGGAATGCGCTTCCCCTCGCGCTTCCCCGCACCTCCGCCCGTTATCGTCTATCCAGTACCGTTGCCATCTCTCCATATTGCATGACGTCATCAAGCCAGGTTCGCAGATATTTCCGCCCGTTATCGTCTATCCAGTACCGTTGCCATCTCTCCATATTGCATGACGTCATCAAGCCAGGTTCGCAGATATTTCCGACAGGTTACGTTATACGTGCGCGCGGCCGTAAGTAGAAGGGACGCGATTAAGACTCGAAATTGACTTGCTAAATGTAATGTCTCCTCGTTCATGCGGAAGTTGTTGAAATATTTTTTGGAGTCCGTTTTCAGCTTTTAATTTAGGGTTATGTTCCTTCTAAGTATTTTATTTTTAAGATTGAATGAATTCAAAATTTGACTTCTCTGCGTTGAGTAAGTATATTTTCGTCGTAATGTAAGAGATATAAAAAACAAATACGACGACTTGACGTGACCATTTTTACGTGTTGTAGAAGTGAAGTCTGTGTTAGTACTGCCCAAAAACGGAGTCCGGCACAGGCACCAGCGCAGTGGAAAGACGGTACCGGTGCCCTGCCGGTAAATGGAAAACTGCCCATTATAAACACAATATTGTTGCCCATTGATACCAATCAACATTTGGCAAAGTAAATAAAGTTCTTTTTATCAAAAAAAAAAACTTTCCAAGTGCGTCTCAGGCCACACACAATGTAGAGGCGTGATTAATATCTATAACTATGCCAAACAGCCAAATCACAGATTTGTAGGGTCTCTAAGCAAAAGCGCGGATGGACGGAAACTATAAGGGTTCCTTGTTGTGTAACTACGGAACTCTAAAAATTATTAAACATCGTAATCGCTTTTTCTTTTAATAAATTCTAAATATTATATCAAATCAATTATTTGGGAAGTAATTTAAAATTTAATATATTCACAGCTAAACGCAGGCCTCCTCATAAATTGCCTCCGTCCTTGGTTAACATTCGGATCGGTATTTGTACTATTATCTCTTCTGTGGTATCGATAGCAAATAAAACAATTTGATAAACAAATTAATAAAACGCCACGACACAGATTAGATAAGCCACGTTATACGAAACAGAAAGCAGTTGTACTGTAGGATCATAAACGTATGATTACAACATTAATAATGTAATGTTACATTATAAATACTATGTGTAGGATATTGTGCTGTCACCGATGAATGTCAGTTCGAAGCGCTCACATGCTTTTGCTATTTTAACTTTAACAGGCGCTTCGACACCTTCATAAGAGCAATTTGCCATGCTTGGCAACTATGGCAAAAATATAGTAATGCATACATTACTAATATTCCTGGTAAGCTTAAAATGCTTGTGTTAAGAGTGGTTCACGACAGTTACCGAATGGCGAACTTGAACCAAAGAACTTTCGGTCCGCACCCGCCCACTAGACTACTGTCGCTTTAACCGGGCGCTTGTCGCATTGGTAACCGTAGTTTTTAGGACCTAAGTGATACCCGCTAAAAACCGCCTTTGGGACATGCAAAATATGGCTGATTAAGCCGCTTTGCCGGATCGGAAGCGACCCTCTTTTGGGAGAAGAGGGCGCATGTGGCTACAAACTGTCAAGTTGAGTTTGAGGTCCCTTTACAACTGCACAAATTGTACATTTGCGGCACCAATCCTCGACATTGTCACGGCAGTTGACCCAGTAAAACCGTTCTGAGATCTTCAGTAGAGTTCGTTTAACTCCCAGGTGGCCTCCTGAACAACCATTATGGTACAGCTGTAGAACATCCGGTACTTTAGCCTTAGGGACAACCATTTGCAAATGACAACTGTCTCCCCGACCATTTTCCAATTTACGGCACAGGACTCCATCCTGAATCAGCAAGCTGTCCCATTGGGCCCAATAGCTTTTCGTGGTCAAACTCATTGCTGAGACGTCGCTCCACTTGGGCTTAGGAGAACTGGCCTTCATCCATTCCAGAATCGGCTTAATGTCCGGATCTTCCTGCTGTGCATGTTGTAGGCTGTCCTTCCACTCATTGCTGAGCTGGTCTGTCCTGAGTATCCTCACAGATACCACTTCCTTATCCTCTTGCCTAGTACAATGCTTGCAATCTTTAGGGCAAGGTCTTCTTGATAATTCATCTGCATTGCCATGAGATTTCCCGCTGCGATGTTCGATCACAAAGTCGTATTCCTGCAGTAGTTCAATCCATCTCGCAACTTGTTCTTCCGGATTTTTGAACTGCAATAGCCATTTCAGTGCAGCATGGTCAGTTCGTAAGTGGAATTTCCGCCCCAGAAGATATTTGCTAAAATACTGCAAGGACTTTACCACAGCAAGCAATTCCCGTCTTGTGACACAATAGTTCCTTTCCGGCTTTGACAACGACTTGCTGAAGTACGCTATCACAATCTTTTGATCACCAATTCCGTTGAGACAACACACCGCCAGGCCCTTTAGAAAGGTGGTGCCCCAGCCTCACAGCAGCTCTGACTTCAAGGTCGCGGATGCCGTCGATGAATGTCTGCACCAGGTTCCCTACAATGAGCACAGGTACAGACTGGTACGCTTTTCGAACCAGCTTCTCCACCTCAAGGCCCCACTGCTGCAGGTTTTCGTTACTGCGTTGTACGCGATCTTTGAGCTGCGCACGAAAGACGTGTTCCAGGTGAGCGTCACCATATCTCGCCTCCAATGCCTCAAGGAGCTGCTCGTAAGTCACTTCTTTACCGAGAGCTTTCAGAACAGTTAAGGCCTGGTCGCGCAGGCCTAGGGTGAGAGCGGTCATCGCCTGACTTTTATTCCAGCCTTTCGCTTTCATGACAGCCTCGAACTGGATTTTGTAGGCCGACCAGGAAGAAGTCCCGTCGAACGATAGCACTTTGAATCCACGTAGCGAAGGTGTTGTAGCTACCACGGGAGCTGTAACTCCATCCCCAATTTTGAGATCGTCCAGCGTTTTCTTCACGTTAACAATCACGTTATCAACCCGATTGTTCACTTGGTCGATTCGGGTTTCAGCTTCCGACAGGCGGTTGTCATGTTGAGCAACCCTATCCTTCACCTCCTTTATCTCTTTCCCGAAGGTAGCGTCAAGCTCCTTCATGAGGAGTATCTGCTCTTCCTTATCGCGTTTGAGCTGCTTTTCCAAGCAACGGGCCTGTTCCTCCTGACCGCGCTGCAGCTGCTCTTCCAACCGACGGGCCTGATCCTGCAGCATCATCATCAGAGCACCTAAGTCAGGTGCTGCAGATGCAGGAGCTGCTGACGGGCTGGTCTCCGTGGTCAGCAGCTGGCCCTCCGACGTTTGCGGCGTTGCATTACCAAATCGTCTCTAGCCCGTCTCCAGCTGGCGTTGATTTCGGGTACGGATACCCTCCATGTCGTCCTTTGATAAAATCGGCATGATTTGATCCCACTTCTGACACCAATTGTTACGAGCTTGGGGTTCGAGATAATTAAAAACTGCCGATTGAATTACCAAAATTGACACTTTAATTACACAACACTAATTACAATCTAAAACCACACAATTGTCTATTTGCTTCGCAATTATTTCGCTTCGAAGTATTTTCTTGTGTCGCCAATTCAATACTGACTCGGTCGTGGTCTATACCGGCCTTATATAGGGCCTCAGATAGTTTTCAGGACCTTCTACTGTAGCGACATCTAGAATGTTCGAGTACATATCGGTCCCGAATTTTCTGGAAGGATCTTGACTCTCCTAGTTCTACTACTCGAGACTAGAGGGCGCTAGTGTAATTAGTGTTGACATATACAAGACATTAATAGTGGTGCGCAACACTTTCTGCTACTCGATACTAGAAGGGCGCTAGTGTAACAAAGGGCGATTTTAGCGTAATTGCTAGTTGCTACGCTTGGCAGGCGGGCTAGCAACAGCAGTTTCTTTATAATTTTAAGTTGTTATCAGAAAGATCCCTTTATGAGGCACTCTATGTGGGAGCTCTATGTTCAGCAGTGCTTTTATAATCTGTAACTGTAATGGAATGTATTATGTTTGCATTAGTCATAATTAATGAATGAATGTCGTTGGTCCAGTGATCGTACACACAACTGCTCATCAATAAGTCCCGGGTTCGAGTATCGGAGTCAGGTTTATTTTATAGAAAGGGGGACAAACGAGCATGCGACTCACCTGATGGTAAAGTGACTACTGCCACCCATGAATAACTGCAACACCAGGGTAATTGCAGGTGCGTTGCCGGCCTTTTAGAAAGGTGTCAGCTCTTTTTTGAAGGTCCCTAGTCGTATCGGTCCGGAAAAATCGCCGGTAGTAAACAATTCCACAGAGAAGTTGTACGAGGAAAAAAACTCCTAGTAAAACGCACAGTCGTGGACCGCCAAGCATCCACATGGTATCGTGAATTTTGACGTGATTTGCATTTGTGAAATTTGGCGGCTGGTATTAATCCGAACAATTCCTTCCTGGTTGTTGGTTCAGTACTTGTGGTTGGTTCTCTGGTTAGATTAGTTGATTCTGCGCCTCTTCTCTTTCCGACCGTGTCGAATTGCTGTCCCATCGGACTATGAGTAGAGAGAGAGAGTGCACTATAATCCTGTCCTGCTCATATCATACGTAAGTGCTTATCTTATACTCTAACACTAGAATTTAGCTAGCGATTTTAAATTCACGCTTCTTTCGCAGGTATATTTATAGTTGGAGCAAAGAGAACACATTTTTGTAGCTATGGTGGACCTTTGCGAGATTTTCCAGCCTCGCATATTTTTGCTATCGCGGCTAAAGACGCAATGCGTTCTGCAAACATAAATCCAGATGTTATAGATGCCACAGTAGTGGGGAATGTAAACTATGTAAGTTTAAATAATTTTAATTGTAATACTAATAGTAGCTATTTTTTTTTAAATAGAATAAGGGCGACAAACGAGCACACAATCGAATCCGATTGCAAGCGGATGCTGTGGCCCATAGATCTTCGATAAAGAATCAAAATGCAGATATGTTGTTACCCCTGAGGACTAAGATGGAATGCCTCGTTTCCAGTAAAAAGTGTCACCGGTTCTTTACACTCACCATACGGAACACAACAGCGTTAAGCTGCTATTTTACGCTGGTATTCTGTGAGAGCGTGGTCCTTCCCCGGTCGCGCCTACTCATCTAATATAGCTGCAGCGTGACTCTACTACTTGATAATAGTACTACAGCGAACAACGGGAGAGATGAGGGTTTCCTAGATTTTCCTATATCCTACATTTTATCACAACTTAAATTGCACTCAAGGCACAGAATAAATTATAGTACTACATACTCAAAGCTCTTCTATGGATAATATTCTACTTACAAAAATGTCTTGTTGCAAATACCTAGTTAGTATCGTTGGGCCACTTCGACCGTCTCGTATCCGACTATACGAAACAGTGGAAGGACTACGAAACAGTGGAAGGACTACGAAACAGTGGAAGGACTATCGTCCTTCCACTGTTTCGTATGGTCTAGTGTAGCGTACCGAAGACTTTTTGTACTGATACGAACCTTTTTACGCATTAGCATATTATAATGACATCTGATTCGAGAATATATACACTGTAGTCTCACGCCTACACGTTTACATACATATACATATGTTGAACGTGTACTTGGCGTGAGACACTACAGTGTCTCCGGATAGTTATACATTTTTATTACAGAATATTATCCATAATATTAATGATACCGGATGAAAAATCAACCTTTGGTAATTAATGACAAATTTTCTTTAAAACTGGAAACTACAATGAAAAACTAGTTTCAGTGAGACTAATCAGACAAAAAAGTAATTCCTCTCATAACTTGACATGTGCGAATGACTTCGTAGCCACCATTTCTTCTAATATTGGTGCTGTGAGCTGTTTCGCCTGAGGTTATTCTTTATCCGGTCGTAAAAGACAGCTACTGGATATTGGCCTCTCCCGTTGTGGGAAGGATCGAAGTCTCGCACAACTACCTATAACGCTACTGCCTGCCGTGTGCTTGTGTATTTTACGTATGACGTAAACGATATGTTTACACCGCCATCTATTAGAAGGCTTAAGATTTTTCTGGCATTGCCCCATCACCACACATTGTCGTGAAGCGACAATTAGATACAAAAGAATCTAACCTAAGAGCAACAAAACAACAAAAATAGAACAAAAACAAATAATATATTTAAAAGATATTTACAATTTTATATAACAAAATGGAGTATGAAGATGAGGATGGATGTCCTGATTTACAATTATTTAAAAAAAAAAGATAATAAAAAAAAAGATTAGTATTGAAGTTGAGCCCGAAGATCCAAGGTGTACAGTAAGTGCTCTCAGCGCCTGGAACGAGCACGCACAGCGTAGGTGAAGGTGTGGGCGTCTCTAGGCGACGACCTCAGGTGAATGCAGAGGTTTGCAAGATCCGGCGACTTCAGGCAAGACAGGGGCTTGCAGGATCCCAGCGACTTCAGGCAGGGCAGAGGCCTGCAGGATCCGGCGACTTCAGGCAGGACAGAGGCTTGTAGGATCCGGCGACTTCAGGCGGAACAGAGGCTTGCAGGATCCGGCGACTTCAGGCAGGGCAGAGGCTTGCAGGATTCGGCGACTTCAGGCAGAGCAGAGGCTTGTAGGATCCAGCGGCTTCAGGCAGGACAGAGGCTTGCAGGATCCCGGGGCAGTGCGGCCCCGGGATAAGGCCTTTAGGAGATGCTTCGAGTTTGAGAACCGAAGCGAGACTGAGTTTATTGGCCGATTGTTCGGCTTTTATACCTTTTTAGAGAGAACGGAAAATTATTTAAATTAAAAGCAAATTTTTTGTAAATGGCCAAGAGGAAAAGAGTATTTATGTGGAAATATTGAAGTAAAACAACAGACCGGTAACGAATTTGAATAAAAATTGTCATGACAACCAGATAAACAACGATGTCAAAACATGTCAAATTTTGGTTTCAGGCTCGTAATAGAGAAACGGCAAGATTTAAGTGAAAAATGAGATATTATTGATATAGGAAAAAAAGTAGCGCACCTGCGCGCACAAAGCCCGAAATTGCAGAGTTACGGAAAACTAAATAAAAGATCGAAAAAGGTGGACTCCATCGACACCAAATTAAAAAATGCTGATAGCGTGAAGATACGAAGTGAAAATGATTTGTTATTGTGTTCTTATGGTTTAAAAACGTTACAGGATCCTATGGAAATAAAGGTGATACAAAATATCCAGTTTTGAGGTGAATGCAGAAAATCAAAACAGAATGGAAAAATGAATTTAAAATAGTGTAAAATGATATGTAAGTAGCATAACACTACATTTTCCCCCCGACCCTGGAAAATTTTTGACTCAGCAAAAATTTTGATATGTACATTCTAAAATAAACCGTAAAAACACAGCTTTGCAGAAACAGACATCACCAGGCAAAATCAGATATACTATCTCTTACATTCATCATCTGCATTCAGGTAACGGTGGAGTTCACATTCAATGACTACCACTCTAAAAGTGTGTTTTCGAAAGGACATTCAGGCTTATTTAAGGAGTTGTCATCCGCTCCTGCGTGGAAAAAAAAATTATTAAGGGAGTAGTCAGCCGGTCCCAAGTGAAGATAAAGATAAAGAAATTAATCTTAAGTAAGCTTTAGTCGCTATGACTTAAGTAAAGATTAAGAACGGCCAGAGCGGTAGGGCTCAAAGCCAGAGATCAGCGACATCACCAACGTGATGTGTCTGAAATAAAAATAAAAAGTGAAGATTAACCAACGAAAATTCGAGGTCCTAAAGCAAGATGTGTTGAAGAACACTGGATCACCAAACAAACAAACAAATTAAAAGAAATAAAAATAATAAGGTGAAAATGATGGTGATATTTATACATATATACAAATTAACAGTTAGAAGTTTGAGAAACAAGAGGGGGTTCCATGACAATCGGGTCAACAGGAGGGTCAAGTGATGGAGAGTCATTTTCAGTTGAAGGTGGAGTCAAGGATTCGAATTGTTTAGTAATAGCGTCAAATTTGCAAAGTTAAGTTTAAGAAATAAAAATTTAATTATAAAATTATACCTCTTTAAGTTATCTAGAATAAAAATATTAAAGTGATGAATGTAAGTGAAGTGTTAAATGTAGGTCTAAATATAATCCAGATAAGTTGAAACACTAGATGAAGTGTTGTTTTAGAATTTGGAAGTTATGAAAAGGATGAATAAATAAAGAGTTAAGAACGAAAGAGAAAGCAATTAAGTCAAAAGGGAATGTACAAGGCGCAGTAAAGGTGAAGAAAAGAGAAAGAGAACTTTTACGTTGGGCGCCAAAATGTCGTGAAGCGACAATTAAATACGAAAGAATCTAACCTAAGAGCAACAAAACAACAAAAATAGAACAAAAACAAATAATATATTTAAAATTTAAAAGATATTTACAATTTTATATAACAAAATGGAGTATGAAGATGAGGATGGATGTCCTGATTTACAATTATTTAAAAAAAAAAGATAATAAAAAAAAAGATTAGTATTGAAGTTGAGCCCGAAGATCCAAGGTGTACAGTAAGTGCTCTCAGCGCCTGGAACGAGCACGCACAGCGTAGGTGAAGGTGTGGGCGTCTCTAGGCGACGACCTCAGGTGAATGCAGAGGTTTGCAAGATCCGGCGACTTCAGGCAAGACAGGGGCTTGCAGGATCCCAGCGACTTCAGGCAGGGCAGAGGCCTGCAGGATCCGGCGACTTCAGGCAGGACAGAGGCTTGTAGGATCCGGCGACTTCAGGCGGGACAGAGGCTTGCAGGATCCGGCGACTTCAGGCAGGGCAGAGGCTTGCAGGATTCGGCGACTTCAGGCAGAGCAGAGGCTTGTAGGATCCAGCGGCTTCAGGCAGGACAGAGGCTTGCAGGATCCCGGGGCAGTGCGGCCCCGGGATAAGGCCTTTAGGAGATGCTTCGAGTTTGAGAACCGAAGCGAGACTGAGTTTATTGGTTTTTTTTTTTTTTTTTTTTGCGCCCGAAGCAATTGGAAAAGGGCTACCACTGAGGGAGGCGGAAAATGCATTATGCATACCACGACAGCCGGTCTGTCCTGGTTATGTGGGACTCACTGCCTACCGGGGGACCTAAGTGATACCCACTAAAAACCGCCTTTGGGGACTGGCAACTAGCTCTATTAAAGCTGCATATGCCGTATCTAAAGCGACCCTCTTTTGGGAAAAGAGGGCGCAGGGTTTATTGGCCGATTGTTCGGCTTTTATACCTTTTTAGAGAGAACGGAAAATTATTTAAATTAAAAGCAAATTTTTTGTAAATGGCCAAGAGGAAAAGAGTATTTATGTGGAAATATTGAAGTAAAACAACAGACCGGTAACGAATTTGAATAAAAATTGTCATGACAACCAGATAAACAACGATGTCAAAACATGTCAAATTTTGGTTTCAGGCTCGTAATAGAGAAACGGCAAGATTTAAGTGAAAAATGAGATATTATTGATATAGGAAAAAAAGTAGCGCACCTGCGCGCACAAAGCCCGAAATTGCAGAGTTACGGAAAACTAAATAAAAGATCGAAAAAGGTGGACTCCATCGACACCAAATTAAAAAATGCTGATAGCGTGAAGATACGAAGTGAAAATGATTTGTTATTGTGTTCTTATGGTTTAAAAACGTTACAGGATCCTATGGAAATAAAGGTGATACAAAATATCCAGTTTTGAGGTGAATGCAGAAAATCAAAACAGAATGGAAAAATGAATTTAAAATAGTGTAAAATGATATGTAAGTAGCATAACACTACAACATACAACACCCACATAATGAAATGGGGCTGATAGTTCTCTTATACCATCATACGTGGTAGAGCCATGCTGCAGCTATATTAGTAGTAGGTGTAGTTGTAGCACGAATGGGTCGGCTCGACCGGGGAAGGACCTCGCTCTCACAGAATACCAGTGTAATATAGCAGCTCAACGCTGCTGTGTTTCGTATGGAGAACCGGAAACCCTTTTTACTGGAAACGAGGCATTATATCTTAGTCCTCACGAGTGACAACGCATCTGCAGTTTGATTCGTAATCGAGGATAGATGTAGATGTCTATGGGCCGCAGCAATCACTTACCATCGGGTGGACTGTGTGCTCGTTTGTCACCCTTATCCTATTAAAAAAAACACACGGCGTGAATGACAAATAAATAATATTATTGAAATAAATTTAAATAAATTTGGTAGTAAATCGACAGTAGCTTAACAACAGGCTTTATTTATTCCAGTTAAGTCAGTGCGATGGCGGAAAGACTCCTCGGTACTGTGGTTTATATTCAGGAGTCCCGATAGAACGACCGGCTTTAGGAGTTAACAAGACTTGTGGCACTGGACTGCAAGCCGTTATTACTGGCAGCGTAGTAAGTTTTTTTTATAATTCTAAGCCAGCCTTAACTACAATCCCACCTCATGGTAAGTGGTTGTAGCCTAAGATGGTGAAGCGCGCTGACTAAACAAAAGCCTAATCACTTTTGCCTGGAAGACACCGTAATCGGATGGAAAGATTCCATTCTTTTGCTGTACGCATGATGAACGATGTAGCAAACCGTTTGGTTCGAATGCATGGTAAGTCAACAACGGAAGGGTGGCGATTGGTCAAACGTCTGGTTGTACTATGGTGGAAGGGAGAAGGAGTAATTAAATTATGTAATTCCTACGCACACTCTCCGAAATGCAATCTGTAGAAATCCGAAAGGCTGGTTACTTTGCGCCTGTGTTCGAGGCTGGTAAGGTGATAAGATTGGTTTTAAGTTTTAACCTTCTTTCCTGAGATTCTCTGAAATGTTGTTAAATAAAAGATATTTAACAGTTAAAAGTAAGGCACTTCCATATCGAATGAACATTATCCCATTTTTGGACAAACTATTAGGTTTCCAATCGCGGATTAATTTTACACCCATTATTTTTTTTGATTATTAGCGTGTACATATTATATTTCGCTCTCATCCTCATCAGCCTGTAAAATGACCATTTGCTAGATGGCAGACTCTTACGGTCACACATTTAATAGGCTTCTTCCATAGAAGGGAGAAATCGCAACTAAAGTTCTGTGTCATATGATCATATCTAATGATTTTCTTTATTTATGAATTCCTTTTAGGAAATCTTAACAGGTGCTGCCAACATATGCCTGGTTGGAGGTACGGAGCTCATGTCATCCCTTCCTTTGCTTGTCCGAAATATCAGGTTCGGTACGAGTCTTGGGACCGCATACAAATTGGAAGACCATGTAAAGAAACAACTAGTAGACACCTTCTGTGGTCACAGTATTGAGAAGATAGCAGAACAAATAGCAGAAAAGTATAAATTATCACGGGAAGCAGTAGATCAATACACATTGCAGAGCCATATTAAGTGGTCATCAGGTATGCATCTCACTACTATAAAGATATGGCACATTGAAGGAAGATATATAATAGAATCAGGCGTTATTTTGCGGAAATCCATTATATTAAATTTGTTAAACATTAATGTACTAAGATTCGCTTAATGAAATAAAATAATATGTCTTACCTAGTTTGAAGAGCATATCCCGCCCTCCCTCAATTGCGTGCACCTGTCACCACTATACCAAGAAAGATACAACACCGTCGATAATACATGAGGCAGCACTTTTCTTACATGAAAGTCTGTGGAGCCCAAACTTGTCTACGCTGCTACCACAGGGGCGCTGATGTGGTTGACAAATCACTGCTCCTAGTCAGATTCCTACGGCGATGCGCATGCTTTCCCCATCAAGTAATGTGCCGAGATTACTTGATGGTAAAGCGTGTGTGTGACTAGATTCCTTTTATTGATCGAAACAAATTATTTACCTTAGATTATAATAATCTCAGTTATTTACTTAAATCAATAACTTCATTACTTTCAGCTCAAGAAGCGAAATTATTTGACGATGAAATTACACCTATTTTTGCAAAAGTTGACAAAAAACACGTGATACTAAGTGACGAAAACCCTAGGTCCAATTTATTGTTGGAAAATTTGTCCACTTTAGCTCCGGTGTTGGACGACGGAGCCATAGTCACCCCTGGTAACTCTTCGGTAGGTACATTAGTTGAATCTATCTCTGTCATTTTATGAGCTGTAGTAGCTCATAGGGTAAAAGCGCGTGCTTACAATTTCATACAGTTTCATTTGAAATTGTAATTCTGCAATTTTAAGGGTTAATTTGCTTTATCGGCAAACATCGCGAGCGTTAAGAAATTAAAAAAAAACATTTCGGGGATATGTTTACATCCTCTTCATAGTGACTGCCTCGTTGACCTAGTGTTAGTGTATGGACAATAGTGGTGGCAAAGTAAAGTGCTTTTGGTATATATTCGAAAACCGAAATTAGTAAATGAGGTTTCTGGCAAAAAAATCTCAGTAACAAACAGCTCAGGGGTTTGCAAGTTGGCTTTGTTATACGCACGTAAAGCTGTTGGTGCTGCGCCTGATCTCTCCGGTCGTGTCGGCTTACCGTCCCATCGGACTATTGGAATAAGAGAATATAATGACCTTGCGCATACACTCTGTTACTAAAATCTTGACAGATGGCTAATCTCCGTTGAGACTGGCTGCCGTGACTTAACCTCGCTCCGGAGGACCTTTTATATTATTGTAGTATTAAAAAGTTCTTATTTATATACTCGCCATCAGGCTCCAGCTGATGGGGCCGCAGCTTTGATTTTAGCTAATGAAGAATCAGTAAACAAACACAAAATAACGCCCATGGCGAGGCTTACGGCTTGGGCTTGTGTCGGAGTGGACCCCGTTGAAGCGGGTTTAGGAGCTGTCTCTGCTATCTTAAAATTACTTGCTGTTTCTAATAAGAAAATACAAGATGTGGATTTATTTGAGGTATTATGTTATTATAGTGTTTTACAATTTTCTTATTTCAATGTTCTATTTTGATATCTTACTGTGTACAAAAATGTATACGTCTATTGATATTAATTTTAAATTTGAGGCATGAAACTGTGATTTTTTAAGAAAATAACAAAATAATACTACGTTAACCACTAAGTCCGAAGAATACTGCTTTGTTTTTTTTTTTATTATAGAAGAAAAGAAAGATTTAGGTACATAGTTACTTACCTATATTATGTCTTAACTCGTAGTTTCATTGGGTTAGTTGATACTTGATACTATATATTAACTAACGTTTCAAACAACAGATAAATGAAACGTTCGCCTCACAAGCAATAGCTGTAATTAAGGAATTGAAGATAGATCCAAGCAAAGTAAATATAAATGGCGGAGCCCTAGCGGTTGGAAATCCTGCAGCGGCAACCGGCGCGAGAATGGCAGCGCATTTGTCACATCAAATACGGTATGTCTTTAGATCAGCTATACTCAACCTTTGTGATTGCCCCATCTGAAGTTCCAAATTTATATAATACTGATGACGTGCTACAGGGAATGGAACTATTTATTCCATCATCTGTGGTATTGGAGGCAGATCTCAGCCTTGATTTGGTCACTCCTCTAAGACTGCATTACGAAATAAGCAGGAATGTTATCAGACCTGGGCTAAGGCTTCGGTCGTTCGGGATGTAAACACCAGCATGCTTAAAAAGAAGTATAACTTCGCCTCCAGGTCCTTCAGAAGAGTTATTGCCAAGACAAAGACAGAATTGGCGAGAAATTAGTTCGTTCTGGTCTCTCGCCGAGGCTGTTCAAGGGAATTTCTGTAAGCCATCTCTGCACAAGGAGGACGACTCACTGGCCCACGCCGCAAGAGAAAGCCGAACTTTTAGGCTCACTTTTTGACAACGACAAACGTTAACAAAGAACACGTACAGAAACAAACTTACAGATTCTCATCTGGATGATGTACCTAATAAGGATAGCATGTAGCGACTAGTCAGATCTTGAAAAAGTTTCGTAAGTGTTCACAGTATCTAAAATCGCATTAAAATTACAACTAAGTTTTTCATTAACAAAGTAAATACATCGTTAACTTGGAATTACGTTTTAATTAAGTAAGACCTAAATAATTTTTACTTGCGGTCCTCGACATCATGATTGAGTCTTTGTGGCCCCTATAAAAAAAAAGATTGAGTATGGCTGGTTTAGATCTAATCATATCTATCCTTTTAAATTATTTTATATTCATATCACGGACTCTGATTATCTGTTATTAATATCGTGTAGTGGCGACGTAGGAATGTCCATTACCCTATATCATTACTAAACAGAAAATGGGTTGTTAACCCGCCTGCTAACTATGGCAATACCTATGGGGTAGGTTCATGTTCAGTAGTGAACTTTTATAAGCTGTAATGGATGGAATGGAATGGAACCTCTATACTTAATACTTATCTAGACTATGATGCAGCGATTTCTGTAGCTGAACTGAAGTGAATTTAATTTTGTTAAATAATATTAGACCTAAAACTTCGCACAGCTTGAAATACAAAACCAAGAAAGTGAAAAGAGGTAATAAATAGAACACACAAAAGTTTTAAGGCTATTTTAAAATAAGATCTAAATAACTTAATAAAAAAAATGCGTGAGTGTCATGGATCACTCGGTTGGAACGACATTCCTTTCGTAGTATATCATTATTGATATACTTACGTATTATATTATTATTGATATACTTACGTATTATATTATCTATACATATAATAAATCTGTAGAAAAGTCGTGTCTGTAATTCTAATATATTCTTGAAAAAACAAGTCCAGGGGACTAAATAAAGGGTTCTGAATCCAAATTAGTGGTTTTTAGAATTTTTGTCTGTCTGTCTGTCTGTCTGTCTGTCTGTGTATTCCGGATTCACGCAAAAACTACTAAACCGATTTACATGAAATTTTGTATGTAGGTAGTCAGTAACCCGGGGCAACTTATAGGCTACTTTTTATCCGATTACGGAACTTCAAAAAAGGATGGTTAAGTATATTAATTTTCTTTAGATATTAATTTTCTGTTGTATCTTAGTTATAGTTATAGGCGGAATGACGGGTGTTTATCAACTAAATACCATATTACCATATTTATAAATAAAGTTTAAAATATAGTTATAATCTTGGTAAAATAATTTGAAACTACACCGATTTCGTATTCAAAACAGCGCCATCTATCATCAAATGGAAAAAGTTGTATATTTTGCCTTCAGTTACTAATAAATGAAATAATATAAATAACTTACATTTATATGATTAAATTATTAGATTTTTAAAATTATTAAAAAATTGTAACGTTCAGTTTTTTAGTATTTTTGTTATTTTATTTTAAAAGTGTAATAATTTCAATAGATAATAGTAACGTCTATCAAAAATATGAAAATTGATAAGGTATTTATTTCAATTACTAATATATATGTAAAGTGATAAAAATTGGTCTGTCTGCAATTGTTGTAAAATTTTCATTATCATCATAGTTTTATTAAAGAGATTTTTATGTATGTCGTGGCCAGATCGTAGAATTGATCATATATCATAAAGTAGTCTATCATTTCGTGAAAACACTGAAAAAATGACTGAAATGAATGTGTATTTATCACTATTTGATGATCGTGTCATGATATAGCTTGACCAAATCAATGAATTGAAATCTTTTGAAGTTATTAGTAACTAAACACAACGTTGCTATTTCATAATATGGTCATATGACGATATCATTATCGTTTCTCACCGCTAGCGGCGCTGATACGAGTAGCTTATTTTTAACAGAAACAGAACTTTTAAGAGAATTGACATCATTTTATCCCTTATTGATATAATAAGTAAATAAATGTAAATAAATGTGTAAATAATTGAATCATTTACATTACGTTCATCCCGCGTTGGAATCAGTGCAGCGAACTCTTTTTTGTCCAAAAACTCTACAGCCTGTGCCCAGTAGTAGCATGTATGTAAGCTGCTTTTTTACTTTTCATGAGGCAATATATGCAGTTTTTATTTCATTCGTGTTTTCGGGTATGATAATTTATGTTTTCACTCTACCGTAAATATTAAGGCTTGCAAAGAGGAGTAGAACTCATTATCGTCAGCCTATCAAAAGTTCACTGAAATGAACATAGGCCTCACCCATAAATTGTCAAGTAGCTGGATATTTGCTATAGTAGCGGGTTGGCAACCGCAGCTATTATTATTTTGATCTGTTGTCAAGAAGATGATGCAAATCATACCATCTACTATTTTTTCCTATGTCGCCTCTTACGACGGGACGATATGATGTGTTGGATTTTCTTTCACCGTCACAACAGTCCGAACTTTTTTCTATTCCCGTTCATGAGTGTAGTGTTCATCACGTTCACTGTGTATAAAATTTATAAGGAATAAGAGTAATTTTAAGGATTTTATCGCGTTTAATTTTAACTTTTTAAATTCCCGATGGTTTGGGCAATTTACAGCACCCATGGTCACGGGAGGGGTGGCAGAACTGAGGTGTTTGACGACCTGATGTCATAGTTAAAATGAATAGTTAAAATGGAGTTGTAGTTTGAATTTAATTTTATTAATCACGGAGTCCTTAGCAGATAGTAGCACTCAGCCATCTTCCCTATTAAAATTAGGATATTTTTAATTTCAATAGCCTCGCGAATCATCATTGGCAGGATTCGGTGTTCTATTGCAAGGATTTGTTGTATATAATGGTTGGGACGATACTAAACATGTTTACATACTTTAGACTTCCCGGAGCTTCGGTGCTTTCATTCGGTGAGAAGTCAAGATGCGTAAAAAACCCGTAACATTAGTTTTAATCATGAAGTAAATATAAAGAGGAGACGGCATATTCAACTGTGCACTGTGATTCTAAGTAGGTCCTGACGTCATCATAGTGGGCGTGGCTTTAGTTAGTATATTGTCAGCACTCGTCCTGTGCGCTTATGTGTTGAAAATCGCAAATCGGTGTATTTTCGTAGTATTAAGAGGAAAAGGATGAAGTGTTGTATTTTATCGTGTAAAAACTACTCAGATAGACGCTCTGATGCTATGGATGGCATCACATTTCATTTGTAAGTAATTTTACACCTAATTTATTAAAATAGTTCTAGAAAAATCTCTTTCCATCGGCTCTCAAATATAATTAAATATATTCGACACTAGATGGCGACACTTTGTGTCATGTGAACTAAAAATATATAGGAACGTAGACCTCAGTATTGGTAAAATAATCATACGAAGTTGCTGAAATTTGTTTTGCATTCAGACAAAGAAATTTTAATCGCCAAAATGTTATTTTTATAGTTTATAATCATTTTGTGAACATACCGCCATCTGCCGTCTAGCTAGCTAAACTACATTGCAACATCGATATGGAACGATTCGAATAGTTTTACTATTTATCGGTAGATGTAGATGGTGTAAATTGGGCGGGGCTTTGCTTCTCCTCACCCCGCAAATTGTCACGCGTTGTTACATAGTGAAACTTAATTAGAACGTCTCCTCTTTATATTTGCTTCATGGTTTTAATCCATGTGTGGTATTTATTATTATAGAACTGTAATTTTCAAGTCTACTCGAAGTAAATAAAAATATCTATATCTTTTTATGGTGCCAATCAATATTAAAAAGGACCAATGATATGAATAAAATGTCTCAAATAAACATTATATTACTTTGTTAAAACTAAATTTAGTTTAACTATGAATATATATATGTAAAGAGTAAAATGTAAACAATAATAATACATTTTGATTTCAAGACTATTTACCTTTCTTATGGATACATCGGATTCGGAAGACACGCCATATATAAAAAATAGTAGGAGTTTCTAGACATATTATAAGCATATTCACGTGTTTCTGTAGCATGTTACCAATCATCTACGTCTAATAGTATTTTAGAATGAAAAAAAATCTCTGACAGACATAGAGACATAGACACCAAGGTGACTCTAAAAGTGATCGAATATTTCTAAATTTGACACGGAACAGCATTTAATGATGTCCCTAAATTCAAGCGCACGCGAGCGAAGCCGCGGGTAAAAAGCTAGTTGATTAATAAATACAAATAAATGAATCACTAGCGTCTATTAAAATAAAATGATATTTCTTTCATGGCAAGATAAGAAAAAGTGAAAGGAGATGGATATTATTCCATCTCACTTCCTTATATCCGCCAAGGCCGTTTACACTAAGTTAGAAGGGGTCGTGACGGAAAACTTTTACACTTTTTCTCACCTAGTCCCCATCCGTCAAATCCGCACCGTGCGGTAAGGAACTTCGTTCCAAAATAAATATTTACGAACTTACAGCACATCAGTGGTAGGTAATACTACTAGGCCACTTCTTATCTTATAACAAATATTCTTCTTTTTATAGTTCACAAACCAGAGAAATTTAATTTCTACACGATGTTGATAAATCACATTTCATTAGGCGAATAATAGAAAATAGTGTCAACTGTATGTACAAAATAAAAAGACAACGTTGATTTTTTTATTTTGATTATTATTTCGGTGTTCAATCTTGAATTCCATATGCATAATTTACGACTATACATGTGTTGTAATTTGCTTAAAATAATGTAATATTCATGTGTAACGTCCATGTCAACTTATGCCGGTTGTTCACAGTCTAAGCCTTTCAAAACTTCAAGCAATATGATGCCACAAGAACGTTTCTTTTCAGACGGAACAGCGCCCGAACAGCTGTTGCGGCTTCGAGCTGTGGAGGCGGTCAAGGCATCGCAATTTTATTGGAATCCTTATAATCTCAAATAAACAGTTGTTACTTGCCTGCGCCTTTTATTTTATTGCACCATGAACCAAAAGTGAAGTCATTGGTGCTTTTCATAGTTTGAAACTGTGTGAAGAGTTATTATAGCCTTAGGTTGACTTTAAAAGTACAAAACAGTCTTGAGATTAAAACAATATGAGATTAGCGTAAATATTGTATTTGCGTAGTGTGCTGAGTTTCAACAAAGAGAAAAATCTATACTGATATCCAGACCGGTAATGGAGCTCAGAAACATCTACAAACGGCAGCGGACCTTTTAGTCTAGTCAACAAGTTCAAAAACGTGTTAATTTTTATTTCCGCTTCTAAAAGTTTGTGCGACAGATCATTCGATTCTGAATGACGTCTAGAAAAATGTATCTCGACGATTTATTAGCACATAAAAATTGCAATTGTTATTAACAAAATAAAATGAAAAAAAAAATATATTTAGTTTTTCTTTAATAACTCAAAAACTATTAATATTTAAGAACTTTTGAAAAGAAATCCTTAAATAGGAGGATATTTCCAATAAAAAAAGTCTCAAATCCCGCATTTCTACATCCTCAGGGCCTCAGGCATCATTCTACAGGCAGTCTCTGAATGGGGCGATGCCAATCTCGTGAGATTTAACGCCTCCAAAACACAAGCGTCTTTTCACCGCTAAAAAGAGCCCGCTCACCTTGGCTCCTACTTTCCGAAATGTATCCTTGGAATTTTCTCCGAATCTCAACTATGGTATGGGCGGTTCATTGAGTCCAGAGCCAAAGCAGCCTCAAGGAAACTTGGTTTCCTTGCAAGGGTGCGGCGGTACTTCACGCCGTGGCAGCTTCTTACCTTATATAAATCGCAAGTCTGGTCGTGCATGGAGTACTGCTGTCACATATGTGCTGGTGCTGCAAAATCCCACCTGGCAGCGTTGGACTCAGTGGAGAGACGTGCTAAGAGGCTCATTGGTGACCTTGATTTGGTTGAACCCAATCTTGTCAGCCTCGAGCACAGGCGCATAGTAGTCAGTGTCTCTGTATTCTATAGCATTTCGGTGAGTGTGCGCAAGAATTACACGCTTTAATTCCTCCCTCTCCTTTCCACCATCGGAAAAAGAGGCGGTCGGCGGGTCTTCACCTCTTTGTTGTCGATATTCTACGCATTAGAAGCAAACGGTTTGCTTCGTCTTTTGTAATGCGTACAGCAAAGGAGTGGAATAATTTGCCGGCGTCTATCTTTCCGTCCGAATACAATCTGGGCGTCTTCAAGGCAAGAGTGAATAGACTTTTGTTACGGTGCACGGTTGTTTCAGTGCGATTTACCATCTAGGGCTGCATCACCACTTATCACCAGGTGGGATTATGTTTAAGCACTGGCTTATAATAAGTTAAAAAAAATTGTTTTTCATTTACACACTGTCCATCTGATGGTAAATGCATTATTAAGGATAACTCAAAAACTACTGGTCAGATTTATATGGCTCCATATGAGAAGCACCAGCTTTCAAATAAAAAAAGAATTATCAAAATCGGTTCACCTAGAAAAAAGTTCTAAGGTAATACCTGAGGAACCTCCTTCTTTTTTGAATTCAGTTGAAAATATGTGGATTAGGCATGATATGAAAATCAATTTTATATATTTTTCTGCCGACTTCCAAAAAGGAGACGGTACTCGAGTATTAGGTAGAGATTCGAGTGTATGTTTTTTTTTATGTGTTACCTCATAACTTTGTACTAGGTGAACCGATTTCGATTATTCTTTTTTATATGAAAGCTGATAGTTCTCGTGTGGTCCCATATGAATTTTATCAAGGTCAGACCAATGGTTATTGAGTTATTCTTAAATAACTTATATTGAAGACGCTTATATTTTTAATTTTAAATTATATAAAAAAAGAAACTAAACACTAATAAATTCAGATACATTTTACAAATGATTATAATTTATTAACTGTAAAAACATTGCTTTCTCATTTCAAGTCACGGAAAATAAGCTTACGGAAAGTTGACTCTATGAATAAACAAATAAAAATGACTTCATTAAAATATTTTTACTCATCAGGAAAAGTGATTTTTCAGATGGATATAAACTGCTAGTTTTACTAAGTATAGTAGTAACTATGCAAGTATTATAAATCTTTACAATTTAAACTTGTTTTCAGTTCAATGATGATCCAAAGGACCAATGGGTGACAATGGTCCAACTACCAAAAAGATTTGTTTATAAAAAACCGTTATTTTGTTACGCTATTTAGAAGCAAAATAATAAAAAAAAATAAGATGCAAAGTTACGAAGTTTCTACTGTGTCAATTTATTAGTAAGTCAATTACTTATTGGTTAAAATATATTATATTTTGAATGAAACGAATTTTACGTTTAATTTTAACTTATTACAATTTCCAGACATTTCAATAGTAAACATCGGAAAATTAAAATAAGTTTTAATTTATCGTACATCATCATCATTCTACGATAAACGAGCCGTAGTAGCTCAGAAGTAGTCCGTCAGTGACCAGGGTTCGAGAGATCCGGGTTCTATTACGCCAGCACCAATAAAATTATTAATTGCTGATTAATTACGTATTCGGCAGTGACAAAAAAAAACATCGGGAGGAAACCTGCATGCCTCAGAAAATGTGAAAAGACATGTGAAGTCTGCCACTATACATTAGAGTAATGCGGCATACTAGCTTCTCCATAACCCTCTATAAAATGAGGAGACTTTTTCTCAGGAAGCCTGTTCTCTAAGAACGACTTTCAGTGCCGCTTTTTTCTAATCAGACGCTCCCAAGCTCCCCTCATATGAGGACTGGCTTATGGTATAAACTGCCAGGAAACTCCTTTGTTTAATGATTCCTTAAACGAATTTCCTGTCTAATAGAAGATTCTTATAAGAATGGAGGCTTGTGCCGAACAGTAGGACTAGTTATATAGGCTACATTTACAAGTCATTTTAATACAATAAGTAAAATTAGTTAATTTAACACTTTCACTGTCCGATTTTCTGACACAATAGTAAGACAATAGCACTGAACCATATGCGGGTCACGAGACAGGAAATTGATAAAGGTACATCAACTGTGTAAATATAAGAAATCTTTAAATAAATTATTTTAAGGACACACTTCATCAATTTTTATGTAATCATCTTAATTTGTGATGGTGATCATTAAAATTTATTCATTACGCAGTTGAACAATTCATAAAAGCTATCAAAAAAATATAAAAAAGACCTGAAAGTTAGTAAAGAATTTTTGTACATTTTAAACTCATTACAGTTTATAACATTCATAGGAAGATGACTGCTGTGGAGTAATATTTCTAATTAAAGTAATTCATTATTTAAATTATAATTAAATAATACTGCCAACTCTTTTGAAACATATTTTAAGTCAAAGTTTCTCCTTTTGTCACCTGAAAATAAAAAGAAATATTTTAGTAAACATATGATTTGGGCCGATTTGTCAATAATCAGATAACAACTGAACTATTTTATTCACAAAACTAATGTTTGATTCTGTTGTATTTTTTTCTATGAATACATTTTCACTGAGGGTTGTAAAATTGGCTCTTATATACTAACTTTTATATCTTTGGTAAATATGACCAAATAAGATTATGTGATAAATTTTCTAACTGTAAATTTACAAAGCCACTTTTATGAGCTATGACAGACTCAATGGATCTAAGACATGCTCCTCTACTGTTAGCCGTATAACGAAGCTTAAGGTCGCTCAGTAAGATATTGAGAAAGCTATGCTTAAAGTTTTTCTGCATAATATACTTTGAAATGACAATATCCAAAGTAAAACCAGAATAACCAACATAGATCAACGAGTAACTAAGCTGAACTAGCAATGAGCTGGCTATAACGTTCAAAAAACTGACAGCCAATGGGGAAGAAGCATTCTCGGGTGGCAGCCTTGTACCAGTAAGTGAAGTATATGCCCCCCTCCCCCAAGATGACACGATGACCTGTTAACAGATGCAATAAGGGATTGGATGCAAGTGGCTCAGGACTATGCTTTGTGGCATTGCTTGGAGGATTCCTAAATATACAATGGACTTGTAATGATGATGGTGACGGTGATAAATGTTCATTTTTACATATCAGGGTTATTGCTGATGCAGGCTGATGTGAAATCAGCAGAAATTGATGCTAATGCAAGTTCATTAAAATGATCTCATTATACTTATATATTTATGTTGTAACAATTCTTTTTCAAAACAATTGATGTTTAAATAGGGAGGAAGAAAATAGGGGATATGTGGGATGGGATAGTATGACATGTATTTTTTTGTGCTACTAAAAATATAATTTAATGTGAGATGTGTAAAATATATTTTTTTTATATAGAAAAAGGGTGACAAACGAGAACACAGTCCACCTGATGGTAAGTAGATGCTGTGGCGCTGCATGACATCCACATCTATTGAAATGCAGATGTGCTTTTACCCCTGAGAACTAAGATGGAATACCTTGTTTCCAGTGAAAAGGGTTTCTGGTTCTCAACACTTACCATACGAAACACAGCAGCAATGAGCTGCTATTTACACTGGTATTTTGTAGAATCTGCTATTAGTGTCTAGACACAACATAGCTCTATTAATGCAATAAGCAGCAAAGATAAATTTTAAAGTAAATGCAATAAGTAAAAAGTTTGGTAGATAACTGTTAGATTAACAATAATTACTCACACAGGCTTCCAAATAATCTATTTTTCTTTCTAATGAGGTTAATTTTTCATTTAATGTAGCCAGACGTGATCGACAGGACATATCTATAAAAATTAATACATGATCAAAAATTGCACTTTATATAATTAAAATTAAAAATTTTGTACAGCCAACTTCAATATAAGTTATTAAGAATAACTCAATAACTATTGGTCTAACCTTGATCAAATTCATATGGGACCACACGAGAAGTATCAGCTTTCAAATAAAAAAATAATCATCGAAATCGGTACACCCAGTAAAAAAGTATGAGGTAACACACGTAAAAAAAACATACAGTCGAATTGAGTACCGTCTCCTTTTTGGAAGTCGGTAGAAAAGAACTAAGACTAAAACTACAATAAATATGTTCTATTTATACATCCTATGATATTATATGTATAAACTCTGTTTACTCACCAAAAGAGTTAAGAAAATCTGTTATTTTTTTAATACTTCCTGTAATGACTTCTATATACTCTCTGTTTGCCCAATCTTGTTGAATTTGTTTTTGAATAGTTTCTCGGGGTGGCGTTGACATTTTACGTATATAAAATAAGCACTTTTATTAAGTAAATGGTGTATTTACTATTTAACAAAACTACAACACTGTGCTACAACAAGAATTCAGGAATCAGTCTTTACAGTAATCTATTATCTATGATCAAAGTAGGGATGCTCGATGATCATCAATGTTAAAAATTACATGTCAAACATCAAAACATCGATGTCAATTAACCCATAATCGATTATTGGGAACTTGCGAACAATGCGAACCAACGAAATCAATATCAACTAAACCTAGCATTTCCTCTGAACATTTAAAATTTTGAATAATTCAGATTTCCTGACCGCATCCCTAACCTAAAATATATCATTATGGTGTGTCTAAAGAGTATAGTAACTGTCCTATACAGGAAGGTGTGTCAAATAGGCGTGTGTATCTTTTTACGGAACCGACTTACTGATCCGAATCACTGACGTGATTCTAAAGATTGGTTCAGTAACAACGTCTCAAATGCATCATTTGGATCTGGAACAGTGAAACATTACTTTGCTCTGTGCTCAGTTCGCGCGACGCGTCACTTGCGAGGCCACTGAGCCACGAGCAAGAGAAACAGTGGTAGAGCCACGCGGCAGCTTTTGCTGTCGCACGGATGGGCCGGCTCGAACCGGGGTAGTACCACGACCTCACAGAAAACCAGCGTGAAGTAGAGGTTTACCTCTGCGTTTCGCTTGGTGAGTGCAGGTGGCCGGAGGCCCTTTTTACTGGAAATGAGGCATTCCTTCTTAGTCCTCACGGGTGACAACGCATCTACATTTTGATTTGTAACAGAGGATAGATGTAGATGTCTATGGGCCGCAGCAACCACTTACCATCAGGTGGACTGTGTGCTCGTTTGTCACCCTCATCCTATAAAAAAAAAAAAAAAAAAAAAAACAGACTGAGACAAACTTAACTATTGACTCGCGAGTGGCGAGTGAGCGGGCGAAATAATTATAATCAATAAAATTCAGATAGAGATAACAAATAAGAAGTGTATCACTCAACTTGTACGGATTTTTGCTATCGTTATTCTATTCTATTCTATTCTATTCTATTCTATTCATGCACGTAAAAATTACCACTAAGGCGCTTACGTATCAAATATTATACGGTCGTTTTTTGTATGTAATGTTTGCATTAACAAGTTGTCATTTTACGTTAATGCGGCACGTTAACGTTGTAGTTTTGTGTAAATGGACATTTTTGTTAAAGTATGAAGGAGAATCGATTTTATATAGTAAGGAATCCACTTATATGCAATAAATGAAACCACAAGTAATAATAGTCCATAGAAGTGTACAAAAATTAAATATTAGAGAAATTTTCAAACAAAATAAATATTAAAATAAATTCGGTAAAAGTAAACACTCTGTTTAGACTACGTACCTTGACCCGTTGGAAGAGCGGCAACGTTGAACGCGGGTGGCATAGCGGTTGGCGGCCGGCAGCGTTATTGTGGGCACGGCCTTTGATTAGTTTGACAATGTGCGACGAAATAATAACTTACTCACTAAACTGTTAAAGTATTTTTACCGCCACTTTTTTATTTCGCGATAATGGAACTGAACGAAATAAATATTATTGCATATTAGTTGCAAAATTTAATGGAACCCTAAATTTTAAAATTTACAAAATATCCGCCACGTTCTAAAATTCACAAGTTACATTGCCGCATAATGTTGTCAAAAAATAATAAAAATAAACGTACTTAAAAACACTATTTACACACACAAAGTCGATTAACCAATAAGTGTCGATTTCACCGTAAAAAAAATTGTTTGACTAATCGTATTTATGTTACGAAAAATAAATCACTTGAAACAGTGCGCATAAGCAGCGAAACGCACCCGTATCCTGGAACTTTGGTGGTGAAGCGAAACTTCCAAATTCAGAAATGGCGAAAATAATAAAAGTAATAAATAGGGCAGGCACAAGGTGCAATTATCGTTTATCGACACTTTTCTTTTTACACTTACTTACCTACTACAAGACATTTGAATACAAGTAATTTTTATTTTTGATTTGATAACAATTGAAAAGTTATTGATTTTAAAAAAGAGTTTATTTTTGTACAATTCAACTTACGAAACTACCGTTTTGTGACTTCCTTGGAAACGGGAAAGTAAATATAACTTTTTTAATTGGTTGTTTTTATGGGTTTTTTATCATGTCTAAATAATTTATTATCTCTAATTCTAAAAAAACACACTTACAAACAAAAAAGCTTTAAAGTTTAGCTTTAAATACTTAGGTAGTAGTGGTTTTAGAATTATCATAACAGCATGATAATTCCAAAAACACCATGCCCTAAGTATTTAAAGCTAAATATTTTGTATGTTTATCGATCATTACTCCCTTTCAAAGAAGCTAATGGTTGATAACAGGTGTCCTACTCTACGATACAGGCGCGCGCGCACTTGCGCCGTCGCCTTCGAAGAACGCCGCGTGCCTCGTGCCGCTTGTATATAGAAAAAATAATAATTCTTACTATCATTGCAGGGCTTTGTGCCGGTCCAGTGATATAGCTATAGGGAATAGTGATTCCGGACTAGCGAAAACAGTACTTGAAAAAAAAAGAGAAAATAGAAAAAGCTACAGACTAATCATTCGATCTAGGATCTAACTAGGAGATCGAAAGTGCACGTTATTGTGTACAGACGTGTCATATAGTAATTAAAATAATTAAATAAGTATGTGCTTAGCCGTGACCTCGTTATAACAATACCGGTAGTAACTGTGACATACTTTAGTTATATTTGTGTTAGTGATATTGTTGAAATGTTTTAGCTTAATCTAGTATAGGTACTAAAATAGAGAACAGTCCTTTCAACCGGAGTGCCAGAACCACTCGCACCCCGCCTCCATCAACCCCACCCACTGTCATGCAGACACCCACCTCAAGCGAACCAATCAAAACAATTCCAACTCCTGAGTTGCAGCAGTGGATGACAAGCATTGACCTGTGCCTTAACGAGGTGTGCTCCATCGCTACAGAAGGAAAACTAAACTCGGATCAAAAAATGCGCATCAGCTCGCTTTGTCGAAAAGTAGGCCAAAGTACATCACAATTGGTAGTCCAGTACATGTCCCTCAAAATGGATGCCACTAAAGCCCAGACATCCATCGTTTCTCTACAGAACCAACTTGACCTGTCCCAAAAGCTGCAGGAACTCAAGAATAGTATCGAAGAGTCATCAAAACCGGACTCTGGAACCTCTTTTGCGGACATGGTCAAAAAAGGTGGCCAAACCCTCATTCGCCCAAACAATCTTAGTACCCTAGCAATTTATCCGAGGGACAAGTCCAAATCCAGTGATGACACGAAGTGCCTCTTACAAAAAATAATATCCCCAGAAGAACTCAAACTACATGTCCGGGGCATGAGGAAGGTCAAAAATGGGGGAGTTATAATTAGCGCTGAGACAAAAGGGGATATCGACAAATTAAAGAACTCCGAGAAGCTTGTATCTTCTGGCCTTACCATGGAAGAGCCGACTAAACGACGTCCGAGGATTGCAATTGTTGGTGTCCCTTTAGCCCTCACGGATAAAGAAGTGTTCGAGTGTATCTTCGAACAAAATATTGCCGATAAATTTCCCAAAGCCACGCGTGATTCTTTCCTGGCAACAGTCAAACTGAGCCATAAATCAGGTAAGAAAAACCTTCCTACATGCAATTACATTATCGAAGTGCCACCTAGCATCAGGAAGGCCCTTATCAATCAAGGACGAATATATATTAATTGGACCTCATGCCCAGTCAGAGACTTTACAATAGTAACAAGATGCTTCAACTGCCAGCAGTTTGGTCACTCAGCCAAATTTTGTCGTGAAAGTTGCCCTACATGTAACTACTGTGGAGAGCTTGGGCATTCCTTTAAAGAATGTAATAACAAAGCGCACGCCCCCGTTTGCGAGACGTGTAAACGTTTTAAAAGAAAATGCGACCACAAAACTGGTGATGAAAGCTGTCCAGCACGTAAATTCGCAGAGGAGAAATATATCAACTCCATAGACTATGAGGGCGCCTAAGAGCGCCGTGTATTATATTATTTACTTAGCTCTTAAACACTAGTTTTAGTTTATCCTTAAGCTTAAGTATGGCGAATCAATTACTCAATGACCTAGAAAACTTTTCTGTGTCTGACGCTAAAACGTGTAATGTTGATGACTGTAAACACTTCCTTCCACGTACTGAAAATAAGTTAGTCTTACTTACACAAAATATTAGAAGCATAAATCGGAATATAACCGGGTTTGAAGTTTTGTTGCATAGACTGGATATAAAATGTGATATTATTGTCCTTACAGAATGTTGGCTGTCAAACCTCCCACCCCACCTACCGATTCTAGATGGCTATTCTTTACACAAAACCGAAAAAAACATTAATCAAAATGACGGTTTAGTAATCTATGTTAAAAATAATTTAAAAGTAACTGTTACAGAACCTACATTCCAGGATTAAATTGCTTAATCATTAGAATTAATTCCGAGACGATTATTATCGCAATTTACAGACCTCCTTCACAAAATATTGATAGATTCCTAGAGTCCCTTGATATTACCTTAAACAAACTTAGCTCGTATAAAAATATAATCTTAACGGGTGACATAAATATTAACATTACCCCTGGAAAAACAGATAACCATGCACATAACTACCTAAATATTTGCTCTTTTCATGGACTATTACCAACACATTACCACCCTACACATCAAAGTGGCTCTTGTTTAGACCATTTTGTGATTAAATCACATAAACCTTCTTTAACATTAGTTACTAATTCCTTGCTTACTGATCATCAAGCAATTTTACTAACATTACAATTAGCCTTACCTAGGAAAAACTGCATACGCAACGACACTAAAGTCCATATGACGAACCTTGAAAATCACATTCGTAGCATTAATTTTGACGTTGTTTACTGCTCTGACAATGCAAATACGTCCTTGAGTTACTTTATAAATTCTTTACAATATGCAATAATGAATAA